TTTCTTTAATAATGGCCCTAGCAGGCTACAATTACATTCGTTCGATTCCGTAGGCAACAAGGAACAATTTGTATATCTCAGAATTTCGGAAAAGTTCCTAGTTTTCGAGAAAATCGAAATTTTAGTTTTTCGTAGTTCCGCCGCTCGCCGCTAGATGGCGCCACCTGTACCGTTTTCGCCCGAATTCGACAAAAATTGATTTCCTGGCTTTATTAGGCATCAAAACGCATCAAACCCTAATAGAAATTTGTTTCTAAATGCCTCAGGAACCATACCACGTCGTCAAAGTGCCGAAATATTCATTTATTTATTTTCCTTAGATGCGTGTTCGGACCCTCATTTTTTAGGTTTAGTTCACCCCTTTCGCCGCTAGATCCGATATCTGATTTGAAATTTTTTTTTTCTATGTCCATCTGGACGTACATACGCATGTGCGTGCAAAATTTGATAAGAATTGGTTGCGTGGTCCAAAAGAAAAACGCGGACAAAGAAGTTGCAAATAAGTCGCTCGCCTCCGGCTCGCACGCTCAATAAAAAAACTGCTAATAAACAAACGTTATTAATTCGATGAAGACGCTAATTTCCATACATGTTGGTACTGATTTAAAATATTTTTTTGTTGACACTTTTCTTAACGCTTGTATCTACGACGAACGAGTGTAACGTTATTGCATCGTACGCATCCAGAATATGTTAAAATTATGTTTAAATATCTGTACGATTCCCGCGCAACGCGTGCGAGAACCTATCACGCCGTATAGATGGCAGATTGGAGAAAAAACACAAATGAGCACAAACGACGCACTGTTTTTAGTAATCAGCTAGCTGCAGGAGAGAGCGGTTGTATAGCTTTTGTTCTTACGCAAATGTAATATAAAAGACAACAGAATAGGAGATGTAATCCGTTTTCACACAAAAAAGGGAGTCGCAGTATATTGCGATAAGTGGAGCTCCTGTGACCAGAGAAAATTTAGTGTTATTCGTGAAAATCTGGGCATGGTGTACTACGCGAAAAAATTATCGATATAAGAAAATGTCGCTGGTGCCGACGACGGTACGTCTAGCCAAAAAAAATTCACTGACAAATAGGTGAAGATGGAAGATGAAGCGGACCTTAGGGAACAATTATTTCACAACACAGTACGGGAGAATATCGTGAGTAAATACGATTACGGATTTGCGTTAATCTATATACCCGTTGTTTATTTCATCGTTAGCCAGTAACGATAATGTTGAAAATTCCTTGCGATGTTCCGAGCAATAATCAATCGCCACGTTTTCTCGTGATTATGTGAAACGTTTCTTTCGATATTTGATCTTCGAACGAATTAATCTGCCCTTGACCCGAAAGGAAATTCGATAAAAATTTATTCATTGTTTCTAACCTTTCGACTCTCGAATAGATCCAAAGTTATTATTTCAATTTTTGATATATCAGTAATAGATAATATACATGTTATTTAATACAACGTATTATCGATGAAATTAAAACAAGCAAAAAGTATAAGATTACTCTTATTTTCAGTTTTTTAAACTCGATTCCAAGAACAGAATGACCAATACTCAGGAATGCGATAGAATGCAGCTCCTCAAGAATCTTGGTTTTTATAGTATGCCAATGTGACAGGATTTTTATAGACACGATTTAAACAGAAATCAAAATATATACATACATCGAATACGATAAGCTTATTCGTATAATGACTTTAATCGCTAACAAGCAGTTTACTTAAACTTTAGTCTATAAGGTCAGCTAATCATGTTCCGACTGTAGATTAACATTGAAACCATGAAGCTGTCAAACGAAACATACTTAATCGCTATATATAAGTCAGAAACGTATCCAACGAGAAAGGCAACGTCCTATGTTTTGTGCATAACCATGGATAAAATAGAAGTAAATATTATTTATTCCGCTTATTAGCTGAAATTCCTAATTGCACAAGCAGATATGATAAATAAAATAGTCGATGCCGGTTGATTGTCGGACGATGAATCTTGAAATTTCTGATTATAAAACATTTAGTTGATCTCCCGGAATCAAAGTCAAACGTTAAGAGCCTTCTTTTCCCCTACATACTGGTTCTCGATCAAACGAAGTCTACATTACACTCGGCTGTTCACGACATACCGATATGTTAATGTAAATATGCCCTAGAGATAACTTTCATTCAGGTACACACAGATGTCAGTGAACTGTTTCAAGTGCATTTGCCCTTGACTTTACCTGTTTCGTTCAGTAGGATTTATTGGGTACTTCTCGATACTCGAAAGGAAGTCGAAACATACTATTTTCGCAATGTGCTTTCTCGATACTTTCACGCAAAGTCATTGACCACGCGTTTATTTCTCATCTCCAACCGGTTTTTCTTTGTTGCGTATAAAAAGCAGTTCCAGTAGATTATGTGGCATAGCAATGAGTCGAATGAAACGACTCGTAACGCGAGTACCTCTCCGATACCTTTTTAACATCGATACTTTCAGTTACTATACCTAATGTTGGATGAAAGTACTCGGTAGCAAGTATCGATACATATCGAAATACCGATTCCTCTTCGATCGATACCACTCCAACGCTATCGAATTATTTTCATTGTATAGGTATCAAATAAATGTCGATACTTTCGTAGGAATATTAAATATCTAATCTAATAGATAACTTGCCATTGTCGATTTATATCCCTATTTACGCATTAGGGATAATAAAAAATTTGAAATAGCGTTGAAAACATTTCGCGCGTGTACGTGACTAAGTAAGGAAGAACGTGTATGGAACGTGTATTCGTTGTAACGGTCGTACATGGGAACACGTTTTACGTTAAAAGGACTGAACGAGTATGTCGCTGATCTAGAATAGCTAAAAATAAGGTTCGGGGACAAAGACACGATAGTCGTGTCGTGGATCGTAATGATTTTTCTTTTTGTTTACGGTCATTTAGGATCGTGGAAAATTGGATCAAAGCAGGCTGATTTATCCGTGGTGTTCTTAACGCGTTAATCAAAACGTCTGGTGGGGCGTATAATTTATCGTTAAGTATATAATTCCAACTAAATTTAATAGTCAGAATCGCAATCAGAAACACTCGGAATGCGATATACCAGGTAATTAGACTGTGAAAATTCATTCGAATTCCCCTAATTTATTAATAGTCTAAAAGCGATGCTTTTTATTTTATACGCTCTTATCGTACGTTACACTGTCTCTATTTCGTTATCCTTTCGGCAGAGATGCGCGTACAAGTTCCGTTAAATGTAACCGTTAAATGTTATCGACAGATATCGGTAAATTTCGAAAGTTGCCACTCGAACAGTCGATATTATTACCGATGCATTCTCGATTCGGGTTATATTCCTAGATCGTTGGTGTCCCTAGACACCACCTACATAGCTAAGCATATCTATTAGTAGTTCGCGTTGAACAACATATCTAGGTGATTTATTTCCTAGTGTCAGCTGTTAAATAAACTCTGCCAACTAGAATATCGTCGAGCAGGACACACAATAAATAAAGTCGCTAGTTAGTCTCGGATAAGTACGAAACGTCGATAATTTCTCTTCGTCTCTTGTTACTTTCAATTCTTATCGTTTGTTATTGAGAGAAGCGTCTTTTTCTTTTCTTACTTTCTTTCCTGTTTCAATTTTATTCGATAAGCAGACTTTGCTCGAACAGTGTAAAACGTTCGCTCGGATAAGAAATACTCGGAATTCGATCGTTTACGAGGATCGAGTGTAAAAAACAACAGCCGTGCTACAGGTCTCGTGTACAAAGAAAACATAAAGAGATTAAAATAAGATCTGGCAAACATACTACATATAAGAAAACATACTATATATAATCGTCGGAGGAGGATAATGCACCTGTGGCGTTAAAACAGTGGAGTTTTCGGTAGGAATTATCATTCCAACGAACGTACAGTGTACACACGTTGGAAAAGAAATGTTAAAAGAGCATCGCTGGTTTAATGATATTACAACGGTGAATCGATGTCGGTATACATATCTGGATACGTTATATCGATATTCGACTGATATTTCGCGTTGGCTTCGTTATCGATCGGCATTGTTTCTACGACTCGTAGAGATACATTTTGTTCGCGTGTCGTTTAGAAGGAAACTCCGCGACCCGTTTAGTTAGGTGGCGCATCGAGGATTTGTAGAGGGTTATACCGGACGTTTAACGTCACCGACATTTCATCTATTATTACGTAGTTGTAATAGCGCGTACACGTATATCGAACGGTAACCGATCGAGGGGCTGAAAACTTTCGAGAGCTCGAAATGGGAGAAACTCGAAAATCGAAGTATTCGACACAAGCTTGTTTTCCAGCAGATACACGTACAAACGATCCGTTCGAAGAGGTACACCTACAAAGAATACCGATGCTAAAGCATCGAAAGTTGTCATTGAAAGTTTCTATACTCGGCAAGTTTCAAATATTCCCGATCGATCGTACGATTCAACTTGACAGTGAGACCTAATGGGGTGACGTCAGAACAATATACACACGAAGCTGCTCTACTCTCAAACTATTTAGAATATTTCTGATTGTTCGCGATTGCCTTTTATCCTAGCTTATACTAAATATAGTATAAGAAGAAATATTATGGCGCGCGTAAATGTCGAATTTCGATGCACTAGACCCGTTCTTTCAAGTGCTTTCCACTTGAATGACAAATATATGTATATATATCTTATCTTCTTCCGTATATTCGTGCTAGCGCTGTAATAACTACGCAAGCTCTAACTGAACTTCGTAAAATGGAAAAATGTAGTTTAAGCGTGTAGTAGATTATATAGATAGAGAAAAAAATGAATCGAGCAATCTGTTTCAGATATTTCTGCTGCTATTCCTGGCCCTGTACGTATCGAGCTACGCTTTAATCGGAAAATTTCGCCGAAGAGATCGCGAGGATTACTTTTCCGTGGACGAAGACGAAGCGACGGTCTACAGGATCAGTCTTTGGTTATGCACGGTTGCACTGACTGTTTCCGTCGGAGCGACCTTACTTCTTCCTGTTTCGATCGCTAGCAACGAAGTCCTCATTTTATACCCGAACAGCTATTACGTCAAGTGGCTGAATAGCTCACTCATCCAAGGTACACTGGCTAACACGGTAGGCTTCTCTACGGAAAATGCCAATTTAGGGGAAAGAGCTAAATTTTCAAATTTCATTTCGCCTCTTGAATAATGTTCAACTTTGATATTCGTCTATTCGATTTGGCAAAACGACGATAAGTTACAAGTTCAAGTTAGAAGACGATAAATACGATACCGAAACTTTATAAATTTGATATGTTAATCTTTTTAACAAACAGGTCTGTGGAACCATGTGTTTCTCTTTTCGAATTTGTCCCTCTTCGTATTTCTGCCATTTGCTTACTTATTCACGGAGTCCGAAGGATTCGTCGGCTACAGAAAGGTAAATACATATACCGATGAACGCGTAGAATATACGTGTTGTTAATTGCATGTTAATAAGATTGTTAATTGCAGGGTGTAATGGCCAGGGTTTACGAAACCGTGACAGTTCTTTGTCTATTGGGGACGCTCGTGTTAGGAATGACTTATGTTTTATCGGCACTCATAGATTATCAGAAATCCAGTCTTCACACGTTGCTCAGTAAGTATACCGTTACGTTACCTTCGCAACGAATCGACCGAGCTAACGTGTATCACCTTTTTCGTTCGACAGATTTATGGAGTTATTATTTACCTTTCCTTTATTCTTGCGTTTCGTTCGTTGGAGTTGTTATGTTATTGCGTAAGTATTATAGCGATACTGCTTACAATTATTCTTCCAATCGTCGTTTTACATATACCTGTTTCATATATATATATATATATATACGTATACCTGTTGACAGTTTGTACGCCGATGGGATTCGTGCGATTGTTCGGAGTAGTCGGTTCGTTTCTGGTAAAACCACAGTTCCTAAAAAATTTGGACGAAGAATTTTTCGCCTACAGATTAGAAGAGGATTGCATTCGAAGAAGGTTAGCGTACGATCATTCTAATTGAAAGATATCGGCTCGTTAGGAGAAATTTCATGACACGTTGTTAACTACCCGTCTCTAGACTGCAGCATGCGAAAGCGACGGGAAAGTCGTACGTTTCGCCAGTGCCTATGTCTATACCAACTTGTGGTTCGGTATTAGACGACGATGAACTTCTAAACGCGAATCCGAGCCTAATGTGTTTAAAGAACGGTGCTCTTCAGCGTGGACTGGCCCAACGATTGGAAGATATCGAGAAGCGAAGAAAAGTTTTAGACCAACAGAGGCGAACCTGGTGGGTTCGACGTACTTTGCTCTACCCTTTGGCCATGCTAGCGCTGTTCGTGCTTTCCACTGCCACGGCTCTGCTAGCGGTTCAAAATACCTTGGAACTGCTGATCGGTATTAAGGCGTTGCCTCTAAGTACCAGGGTTCGTATCAACCGAACATTCGGTTATTCGCTACGTAGAAGATCTTATTGTCGATACGATCGTTTTACAGCAATTCACCTTGGGTATCAACTCGTTATCGAAGCTCGGTCCCATCGGAGCAGCTTTAGAAGTCGCAGTAATTTTATACTTGGCAGCGACAAGCGCGATAGGATTGTACACGCTTCCCGGTGTCAGGGGCGTCCGACCACGGTTCCATTCCACGCCGCTTACGCATCTTATCGCGAATTGTGCCCTCCTTCTAGTACTCAGCTCAGCATTGCCACTGTTATCCCGAATATTAGGTAAATTTCCTAACTCGAATATCGAAACTCGTATTTAATCGTCTTTAATTGTCCATCGATGGCCGGATCTCTACTACGATTCTACAATTATCCGTTCGTTTATTTTAGGTATGACCAACTTCGATTTACTTGGTGATTTCGGGCGTATCGAGTGGCTTGGTAATTTTAAGCTAGTATTATTCTATAATTTAATCTTCGCCACGGCAGCGATCAGTTGTTTGGCGACTAAATTTACGGCGACGGTACGTAAAGAAATTTACTCCAGATTAAAAAGCAGTCTGATAGGAATCTTTAGGAGCGAAGGTAAAAAGAGTTTTTTAGGAATGTTTTCTACGAAAGAGGACTAGACTGACTTCCGTTATAATCAGCCAGAGATTCGCGATTTACCGTTAAAAGTAAATGAAACGCGAACGATTCGTCTATGCGATCGATATGGCGTGCGTGCGTGCGTGCATCGTATGTATGAGTAAAATCCTGTTCAAACTTTTAGTATCATAGTGTAATATTTTCGAAAACTCGATCGCGCGTCAAATACGTGAAATACGATGAAAGTTTGAACGAGTATTTGATCGGCGAGAAACTCGGAACATGTTATTATACATTTATGCGCGAGCGTGTGTGCGTATAGTTATATTATTTATTACGAGATTACTGTCTCAGTAATCATTTATCGAAAGTATGCACACCGGTTACGTGCGCAACAGCTGAATTTTGTGATAAAAACGTAGACGAGTATTCGATAAATACAGGAATTCACGGTGTAGAAACTGTGTATTAGTTTCACGCGTACCTGTGTACGTATGTTATATACATACATATACATACACATACACCTACACACACACACACACACACATATAATACGTATGCATATGTTTCCTCGAGTTTACTTTGTTAGCGGTTGATAGTTAGAAAAACCCAAGGACAAAGTATGGAGCGCTTCGAGACAAGAAATTCCTTTCTACGCGATAAAATACTTTTTAACATACTGTATTAACTTTGCCTAAACAGCAAAAGGAACTTCGATATTTCTATAGAAATTTTTGTACATTTTCATTTTTTAGTGAAAAATACTGGAGATGCATAGTAGGCAGTTCCATGTGCCTAATTTATTTACTTTAATTAATTAAAGTTATTAGTAACTTCGCTAGAAGCGTATTATACGTACATACAGGAACTCGTTGATGTAATCGCACGCTCATTGTGTTATGTTGTAGTAGTATTAGTTTTAGTAACGTTCGAATGCATTTTATCGATTCTTATTAAATGACTCTACCCATCATGGTCAGAAATTGATTAAAAATATTGAATGTAACTGTATTTGTTATTTTAAGATGTACGCAGACTGCGTGCGATGGTAACATACGGATCTTAAAATGTTATCGCCTCGACTGATTTCTCTCTTACGTTAGTTTATTAACGAAAACCTGGCGCTCTAAATTAAGTGAAATTATTTATTTAGCTTAAAGATCGAGCCTCTTTGTTTCTTCTTCGTTGCGTTTAATATTTCTATAAAACAAAAATATTCACAACAGTTATTTACCGACAGTTATGAAACGATAATATTTTACACTATTATGTGATATATATCTCGTCAACAAGACAATACGATATTGTTAGGATGCGTGCAGTGACGCACTCGCTAATTAATTATTAAACATATTTAATCGTAACAGTATCTCAGGATATAAAATATCGATCGATATTTGTTAAAATATATTCCCACATTGTGGATTTGTTTATAACAAAGCGAATTTCTCGCTGGAGAATTCTCTGTATACAGTAATGACTATGCGAATAAAAAGATACGTTAACAAACGCTCTTGTTTTATGTGGGATAGAAAAGGGCCACCAGTTATTTATCGAACTAACCCAAGGAGCGATAAACAAAGTGACTAATGAATAAACTGTATATTTATAAAATGATATATTTAAAATTCCCAAATAATTACTAACGATAGCTACTGATCAGATAACATCTAATTAGATTCGTCTTTTTCTAACCCGAAATGTTTTAAGGTAATACAAAGTGACAGAGCTCCAACCCCTCGTCGTACGATTTTGTAACAACCTGGTTGCGATAAATCAACTATCGTTGATCCTTTCCGTAAACGTTCATTCGAACGGCCATGAATAGTACCATCGTAAAATATTCCACCTAACAAAGGCCATAACTTCTCGAATTCCGAAGCATATAGACAACTTGGTTCGTTGCTTTCGTTGGCGCTTGTTAGCGCCAAAGGTCCTGTTAATCTTGAAACGCAGTTTATAAAGTGAAATTTTGGAACTCTTATGCCTACTGTATCGATATCTGGATTCAAAGCAGGATTTAACGCCGGAGTCCGCTTTAAGATAACTGTATATGGACCAGGTAAAATTGTTGGCAATAAATCTGCTGGTAAATGATCCGTAATACCCCACATTTTTATGTCGCTTACGCTGCTAACAGAAATAGATAAAGGTTTGCTAGTATCGCGACTCTTAATGTTGTATAGCATTTGAATAGTCGCGTTATTGGACACGACACCAGCTAGACCATACACTGTATCCGTTGGAATTGCTACAATTGAATTTTGCTGTAATAGCGTAGCAGCTATAGCCACGCTCCTTCTTCCCCTACAGTTCCAATGTTTATTGGACTTTCTCAATGTCTTGAGATCCATCGAGGCAGAATTTAAAAGAGTCTTCATCGGACCCAAAGTATTAACACTTATCCAACGCTTTCCATCGAGTAACGAATAAAGCTATATATTAAAAATAAAAAATTTCACAGTTATCATCGTATTCTATCATACGGATGTACAGGAGAGTAATTTATTAAAACGTTTGAATCTGCTTTACGGTTTTCAATAATGCGAATGCAAATCGATAAAGTAAATGATTAATCGTATACGAATCACAAAGTAATCATCGCGAATGATTGTTACCGAGTGGCAAATTGAAATAATTGTAATACCTTTAATCGCGCCAATTGTGACCACATTGAGGATTACAGCACTTGTAAAAGGTGGTCATAGGTTCATCGGCGGACCTTGTTTGAATTTGCATAAAATACGCTCGAGCATGAGAACACTTTGGACACCGTTCTTCCGTAGAATCCACGTTCTCCCAAGCTGCGCTTCCACCCAACACGTCGTCTACTTCTTTTAACTTCGGATAAGTACGATTACTCACTCTTCTAGCTATGTTAAATATATACGGGCACGTGTTGCACGCAAAACGTAAGCCAGCTAAAGCTTCTTCGACTCGTAAAACGTTACCGCAAGTCGGACAAAACATCAACATTTTTGAAATATTGAAAATAGTAATAAAATTATTAAGGAAGATGATTCGATGATATAAATGTTGCCAAGTTCTGTATTTAATGTGTATGATCTGTTAATGCGTATAAAAATAAATATTTTTCATATTAGAATGAAACGATATTTATTGTCGGTGAAACATGACGGTAGAAAATGTTGATTCCCTAGGGGAAAATGGCAGCCAACCTGCACGAGTAAGCCAGAACGGTATTAGCGAAAGAAAAAATTACAATTTTTTCTAAACCGAAGTATTTTCACGGATCATTGAGTCTCGCAAAGGCTTTATTACGGTACTTCGACTAATATTATGGCCTAACGAAATCGTGAAGTGAAAATAAATGAAATTCGTTAGAAAATGGTATATGTGGCACCTAGTGCAGGCCGGCCGAACTGCGAAGATAGAAAATGTCGACTTTCTATGCTAGCGCCATCTAGCGGGCGGGTACCAGGAGCTACTCCTGGTATCAGGATCGCAGGAAAGTAAAGGAGTACGCGGAGTAGAAGGTATCGCGCGCATGATATATACATAATCCCGCCTATACCTATTTACCGCGCATACGCGACGTAGTTCCGTAGCGTACCTCCTTTATTTTCCTGCGATCCTGATAGCAGGAGTAGCTCCTGGTACCCGCCCGCTAGATGGCGCTAGCATAGAAAGTCGACATTTTCTATCTTCGTAGTTCGGCCGGCCTCCGTTAGATGGCCAGACATTTTTAGGTCCATGGAGTGCAATTTTTGCACTTGATCGCTGTGGTTCTTCCGTTATTCATATAAATTCCAATGGAACATTCAATGACAATTAACTTTAAATTCCGTTTCTGGACAGATATTTTCAAAACATCAACGCTTCGATAGTATTTCCGGCGGATAGGGAGCTATTCTCATTGGTTGGGATTTTCCCCAGATTCGTGCACGAATGTACATACTGCTGTAAATACTGCATATATAAATGGCTCTTTAAATATTTTTCATATTAAACGAAAGACCTGTTCGAACAGTTTAGAAAACTATTCTTTTATTTTTTCAATGATAAAAATAACATAGATCCGCTGAAATAGTGAAAATTATCAACCGAGATTGTCGAAGTAGTAAGTATACAGTATAAGCGTAACATCATGTGCTTTATTTACATCTAGACGGTAATTTTAAGTATTGTGACAAAGATATAATTTAATTCGGTTCCGAGGATGTGTTATAACAAATGAGATACACGGAACAACTATATTTAGTAATTGATTTTATTAACTTTTCAGTTATGAATTGCTGGTTTATCACATATAGTCTTTCACACTTGATCGAGCAGAAGGTGTGAAATAGATACCGCAAACCTAAGGGTACATGTGACTGTTCGATAAAGTATAAATTGTCAGTGTGATATACTCGTTTAAAGAAGAAGATATAATTGAAGATGTTTAAAAGGTACACGCGCAATCTATCGCAAGTAACGTCAGTAGTGTCGAGAAAGTTTTTAGTTTGTAGGTTAGAATTGTTTGAAAATATGTTTGTCAAATAGAGTTTAACTGTAAGGAATTTCTACGGATCTAGTTGTATCGAATAAACGAGGATAGAATCTTGAACGATACGTTCCGCTTACGTTTTAGGTGTATAAATCTATGTCTATCGCCGAATATGCAATCAAGGTACCAAAGTATATTATCGAAAGCGAAGGCGAAGGAAAGAAGAAACCTGCTGTTCGAAGAAGAGGCGAAAAGACAAAGAAAAGCCATAGGAAGGATAGAAAAAATAGAAGTGAAATATCAATCTCCGGTGGAGGAAGTTACCCTAGTAATGAACAAATATATATCTACTCCTGCAGATTGCGCCAAACACATTTCGGAGGGTGCGTCCAAAGTATCGGCTCTGGCTATGGTGAACGGAACACCGTGGGATATGCAGAGGCCTTTAACGTCGGATTGTGAACTGAAATTTTTAAATTTACTCAGCCCAGAAAATAGAGTAGTGAACACGGCCTTTTGGAGAACTTGTTCGTTCTTGCTGGGTGCCGTTATAGATTCTTCGTTCAAATCGGACGTAAAAGTTTATCTGTACAGTTTCCCGGTGCCTGTCATAAAATTAGGTAGCTTCATATACGACGTGTACGTAGAATTTCCTGATTGGAAGCCGACAGATCAGGAAATGCGCGCTTTATCCGCTCAGTACGTTAGGTTATCGAACGAAGAATTACCCATCGAAAGGATAGTAACTACGGAAAGCGTCGCGATCGATATGTTTCGCGATAATCCTTTGAAATTGGAACAGATACCAGAAATAGCCAAGTCGAACAACAAGAAAGTAACGTTGTACAGAGTCGGACAACACATAGACATCAGTAAAGGGCCAATGATAGGCAATACATCGTTGATAGGGCGTTGCACGATCGCTGCCGTTCATAAATTACCGAATAAGGAGAATCTGTACAGATTCCAAGGCATAGCTCTCCCGAAGGGAATTCGTTTGAATCAGTACGCATACGGTATATTAGAAAAGCGGGCTAAAAAATTGAATACGATAACGTTGCCGTATTTGTCGAGCGAAAACGAGGACGAGGATATCGCGGAAATATCCGCGAAGAATTAACAGTTGGACGTCTCTAAAACGTCTCTAATAGTATAAAATAAAACTACGTACTCTGTATGTTTTTATTTTGTAATTCTTCGATACCTGTATATAAAAACCAAGCGAAATAGCAATGGTCGCTAACCTACATGTAAAATATATATTATTACCTTTCTATAAATAGATATTAAATGCTATTAAATATTTTATTTGCGATACAGTCGACTCACGATAGAGGAATATATTAAAACGCGTTGCACTCTATCGCGTTTGAGAAAAAGGACTGAGGAATTTTCGCGCGCTTATCGTGGGCTACGTAGTTCCCATAGAAAGTTGCCGGGTAGTCTATTGGCTATCGAGGCGGGACACGCGACGTTCATTTTCAGGTACAATCGTTGAGTTTTGCTCGTTCTCGGCAACCAACTGTCGAACCGATCCGATTTTAACTGAGTTCTGACGGCCAGCGGCGCCAGTTCCGGCGTACATCTCAATTCGATCTCGATGACCAGGTCGAAAGACGGTGGTCTCCGCACCGGTTGCTCGGTTTCGACGGTACGATTCGCCGCGCTGACCGCGTTCAGAAATTTGCTCTCGTACGCGTATTTGTTCATGTTACCGTAATAGAAGAACCGACCACCGTATTCTCCGTATCCGGAATAGGTGGAAGCAGGCGGTGGTCTCAACGGAAGCGTCAGAGGTATCTGAGAGGAGGGTAACGAAAATAGTGAAATAATTTATAATCCGGGCGATGTCGGCGAGATGCAGATCTCGGTACCTGCAACATCAGTTCGTGCTCGTAATGCAAGTTCTCGAAGAGGTGTTCGTTCACGCTGCCCACTAAACGTCGTAATCTCAGGTACATGAAACGCTGCTCGTCTCTCCAGCAGTTCTCTTCGGCGTTCTTCCTCACTTCCAAACAGGTAAACCAACCACGTTTCAACACGTATTTCAATTTCATGTCGACGATTCGTCCCGTGCCCCTTTTATTCGGCATCACTTTGAAAGACGACACCTGTCGACCCTCAATAAGACAGTCGAGAACGTCGACGACTTTGCATCCGGATATCAGAGCCGATCTGTCGACGTTCGCGGTTAAATAGAATAAGGAAATTGGAAACGTAAGGAAATAATTCACCTGTTCACTCTGCGTTCGGAGAGCTTTTCGAAAAAGTTCATGAACCGCTTGGAGACGGTGACGAAAGAGCCGATGCTCGAGTCGGTGGTACGAGGGTCGACGATGGACGCGTGAAACTTTCCGATTCGAGCGAGAAGCTCGTCGAGATCGTCGAGCAAGCTTCCCGCGTAAAAGCAGAGCCTCGGAAAGCCGCGTTGCTTGCTCGGCGGATGCGTGTATCGCCAGGTGACAGCGCGCAACATCTTGTACTGCGCCTTTATCAATTCCAGGGCGTTCAGGGCTTTGCTGCGAGCCACCAGTTCCGGATTCGTTTTCGCGTTCTTCACGGTACCTTCGATGCGTTTCGCGAGCTTCTCTAGCCTCGCACCGGCCGCGAGGAAGGCGCCGTTTAAAACCGTTGCCGCTACCCTCGAGCAATGCCTGAAACGAGAGTCGAGAGATTCGCACGCGCGACGATGCCGCTGAACGAGTAAATCACCTGGAAACCAATCGTACAGAAGCGGCCACGTCGCGAAGAGGCAACAGCCGTAGTATCATTTCCAACACTTCCGCCGGAAGCGTATCCAACGCGTAGGCTCGCTCCTCTTTCACCAGCGACAAATCCTCGAGCGATTTCTCTCGCTGTTCGCATCTCGTGGCCGGCAACTTTTGTCGCTTGTTCGCGTTCATTTCGAATCATTTATGGAAAGATCGAAGGAGACTAAGAGAACTCTCCTTTCGAGGGACGAAATTTCAATTTCGCTCCTAGCGCGAGCTCCGTGGTTGGACCATTTAATCGTGCCTCGTTCGTTGCATATTAGCGCATTTGCCGCTAAATAAAATCGTTATCTTCGCGTAAAAAATTTCATAAAAGTTCAAACGTCAAACAAGGCGAAACAAAACATCCCTCCGATCGAGACGGTCTTTCGATTCTCGTTTCACGAACGGCTACAGGGTGTGAACGACGATCCTATCGTTCAACAGTTTATTTATTTTATGGAAAATAACCAAGATCTCTCTCGGTAGATTTATTAGCGCGTTCGCGTATATACATCGTATAACTGTACCCGTCATTCAATGTCGTCGTCGTCGTCGTTTTGGACAAAGAACACGAAACTTTTACAGGAATGGTCTAAAAGTTTGTTGTTAAAAATTATATACGCACACGCACACACATTGTATATATATATATCTTGTTGTATCGGAGTTTCTTTCGAGCATATCGATTCGGTCTTGCAACGTCAAGTGTACATTATGAATTTTGCGTCGTATCATAGCGAAAAACTCTTTGGTCTGTCCGTTATAAAACAGTTCATCGTCTAGTCTAGTAAATCGATGACCTAGTTAAAATCTTACAAACCCTGTTTTTACGTAGGAGCATTAGAAACTCGAGAAGTTTACCGAATTTAAAAAGTACATTCGAAACCGACGCAACTAAGTAGGTTTCAGGCTGGGCCTTATCCTTCGAAAATATGGACGGCCCTTCTCGTGTAGCGCGAGGCACATAGGGGAGAGTTTCACACCGAAAAATTCACCGGCATCAGAAGCGTGAACTTGGTCTGATCGACCGGCAGTTCCTCGGATCCGCAAGGGCCGATGCTGTCCAGAAGCGTCTGTATAGCGTTCTGATTACTCGGATGTTTCCTTTTCGCGTGTTCCCTTCTGTGCTTCAGTTCCTTGAACGTCTTCCCGCACTGTTCACAGACGTACGGTCTCGCAGCTTCGTGGGACCTGACGTGACCCTCGTAATGACTCTTTCGGACGAATTTCTTGCCGCATTGCCCGCAATCGAACTGAAACCGACCCTCGTGAGCCGCTACGTGCGAACTGAGCGTCCACTTGGTCTTGAACGTCTTGGAACAATAATCGCATCTGATCTTGGATCCTCCGTTCGAGCTGCTCTTCGAGTTTTCGAGTATTCTTCTCGGAGTTTTTTTCAGTAGCAGCATCTCTTCCAACAGGAAGTCGTCCTCCTTGTCCGCTTGCTCGTTCCTCGGTGCTTCGCCCTTCTCCGGCTGACCGTCCAACGCAGCGTGCTGCTTCAGCTGCTCTTCGTCGCGCGAACACGCTCCGCAAAGGGTACACGCGTTCTTGCTCGTCGCCTGAAACATCATAGACAAGTTTAATATTTTCTCGATATTTCGATATTTCGATATCACGGAAAATAGTTAACCTTTTCGTGCGAGCTCGCGCGAGCCTTTAGCTTCGACTCGCTGGCGTACTTGTTGTTGCAGCGCGTGCAACGGTAGGACTTGGAATTGGCTTCCTCGTCGGCAACTATTTCGCTATCGTTCCGTTGCCGTTGTTTGCCCGCGTTCTCGTAATCGGACAGCTTCTCCTTCCTCATCTCGTGACGGGCTATGTGTCGCTTGAGGTCGTGGGCCCTGGAGAATGCCCTGCCGTACCTGATGCAACCGGGATACGGGCAACCCTTGCTCGCGTCGTTCCGCGGACGATTGTTGTTGCTCGCCGGCCGTTTCGAGTCTTTCCGACAGTCCTTGCAGGACTTTTCGATCTTCTGACTGGTGACCGTGGCTAACTGCGCCGATAACGGTATCACGATCGAGATCGTCTCGTTGGTGCCCGGATTCACTATAGGACCAACGTGAATCGCCGGAGGCGTCGTCAGGGATATGCCGTTCTCGTTGCGTCCGCTCATCGCGGCTCTTTCCGGACGACCTGTCAATAAATTCAAAGTTTTTTCCTTTTTTCTATAGGCAATTTAGAAACGCGAGAAAGCGTGAAACCGATCGCGATCGCGGTCGCGACGGAGAACACTCGTGGCTGTTACGTTTTCGATCCTCGCGTGGAATTATTTTTTTTTGTAAACCTATCGAGATACCTCTATTCGGTAGATCGGCACGCGGTGTCGAAAACATACCGCAAACTCGGAACAAAGCCTTTAGGGTTCGATCGTCTCTCCCCTTTCGGTGGAAACGTCACGGCCCGTTCAGTGATTCATCCGACGCGATCCTCCCCTCGGAAAGGAACAACGGTGTCGACACGCGACTCTCTCGATCATCCTTCGGCTCGTCCAGCGATGCTACCCTCGGGATCGATCGTAAAACGTAGACGGTAGCCAGATCGGACAGAACAGAAGATATTTTTACGAGGAAGTCCGGTAATTCATCGTCGCCGCTTTCTCGGACGATTCGATCCTTCGGCGCGATTTCTTCGAAAAAAACAACGACAGCTCGGTTGGCTTTGGCTAGGTTTCTCCCTTTCTCCCGGCGACTTCTCTCCTGGCCGGATCTCCCCTCGGCTTTCCTTCTCGCGAAGCAACGCGAACGAACCTCCGAGCAAAGGACGCGACGCGACGCGCTCGTTCACTTTCCTCGTCACGACGAAAGTGTGCTACTGATCAGGAACGCGCACTCTCCCTGTTCCGGTGGACGCGACGCGCGATGGGGGACGACGGGAGACGACGGGAGGCGGCGCGACGCCGAGCCTCGTGGCACGCGCATGTCGCCTCTCTACACGCTCCGTACACGCTCCATACACGGTTCTTCTTAGAGCGTGGGTGTTTTAACGAGCTTCGCCTTTCCTTTCGATCGTTTCGCGCTCTACGCTACTTTCTTTAACGCGGCTTCTTTCCTTCGATTCGAATCTTCCTCGCTGATTCGATAGCGCTATCGTCCTAGCGCCTCGCTATAGTTCGAGTCGAGCAGGATGAAATTTCCGAAATCGAGACTTTGCCTTTCCCGTTGACTTTCGCGAAAAAAACTTTACTATCGCTCTCCGAACAAATATAAGGTAATATTTCTATATAGGGATTTTCGAATCGAGCGACGCAGTTCCGCGGCAACGAACGAGACATTCGGTAATCCTTAACGTTAAAGGACACACCTTTTCCAACCTCCCTCGACGATTGTCCCGCTTAATCAGCTAATGGCGCGAATAGAAATAATTAATGCCGTCGTTCGAGCGATTTCATAGTCGAGAGTAAAGTTGCGTTACGTGGAACGAGTTTGTTTTACTCTGTTCTTTTTCGCGCGTCAGGATGCGCAAAATATCGTCGAGTTAGGAGGAAATTTCATTTCGCGCAATTTACGAGTTAATCAGCCGGTAGAAACATCGCTGTAATATTTGGTCGAACGCGTGCACCGACAAACGCAGCTGCTACGCGATAACCTTATGTATTAGACGTTTAATCAAATTATTTACGCGATTTCCTTGAATTTTCCCCGAAAATTTCATAATGTTTGGCATACATGCCATCTACTATGAACCGAAAGTGGTTCTCGAAGCGGAAGCTTGTTCGGGTCCAAGTTTAAGTCGCTAATGAACAAGTTCGTTGGCGGCGTTTACGCCTATACAATCAGGCTAATGAAAGTTTCGGTTTCGCTCGGAGTCGTCGCGAGTGCTACTTACCTCCCCTCTGTAAACTTCGTAAATAATAGTATAAATAATCGAAAGAGTAGAAATTGAAAGAAAATGCGATAAATATTAGGAGGAAATTTATTATTTGAAAGGTAGAAAAAGTTGACTAGCTAAGTAAACGGCGCTAACAATCGGTTAAAACGAAGAGTGTCTCTGGTTCAGGCGTAAACGAGGAGCGTCTAAACGGGAGGAAGCTAACAAAGATTCGAGTCGGTAGAGCCAGCAAGCGAACGAAACTCGATCAGGGTGTGCTTTCGGTATGCTGAGTGGTTCGTATTAAGCTAATTAACGGATGCTCCTGGTCGCATCGATTGTGTACCCTGCCTCTATTACTTGCTAGAATGCGTTGTACGCGTGTCCTCGGCTAAATCGATATTTCTAATTTCATCGTGTCGCTATACGAAGACGCGATCGCTACGCACAAACGCAACAGGGTTGCGCAACCTTCGGCGCTTCGAGAGCGTTCGAGTTGCCGAGAGCTCGGAGAAACCGCATCCGACTCATTTAAATGCAGATATTTTTCAGCTGCATCGAGAGAACAGAAATAAGATATACGCTAGCCCAGATATAGCCTCAAGAAGAGATTGTTGAGCCGGAGGGTGACCGATTCTATTTTCCATCCAAGTTACTTCTACCGTATTCTAGATTTTTATTATTTTTATTCCCTCTCGATTTTCTTCCTCGCCTATCGCGTCGTTTCGAACGCGCTACACGAGCTGCAACGATCGTTCGATCCTTTTTTCCTTTCGTCGGATAATACCCTCTCGCTGAACCAACGACGATCGATTTCGTACAGTTATTCGTGTCTTCGATCACGATCAGAAGAAGCGCGCGTCGTCGTCGTGGCTGTTGATCATCTTCCTGATCCACTTCACGTAATATTGTATCCTAGTGTAAACGTCGGGAAAGCCTGGCCTGGCACATCCTGACCCGAAAGAGGTAACGCCTGCCAATTGCCATACACCGTCCGCGCGACGACACTGCAGCGGTCCTCCAGAATCACCCTGACGAAAAATGAAATATAACTGATTGCTTTTCTCGTCGACGATTCGAAAAAAAAAAAGAAAAACGGATACTCGTACGAATCGAGCATAGTTAGCTCTCGAACGGCATGGCAGGATCAATCTTGTAAGCAAAGCGGTTAGCTACGTCGTGGAAAATGCGAGACGTTCTAATCTAGTTGAGTGGATTTTCACCGTCACCTTCACCGGACGCCGTCTCAAATCGTCTAGTTTCTAACGATCCGTAACAAGTATATTATAGATAATTGATAGTTACCACGCAACTTCCGGAAGAGCCATCGGTGTGTCCGGCACAGAGATGGCCGCTTCTCAGCGGTACCGATTTCCCATAGGCTTGCGTGCATTTCTCGAGATCGAGTAACGGCACCGAAGCTTCCAAGAGCGCGGTCGAAAGCGACTGCGAGGGTCCGTATCGACCCCAGCCGGAAGCGACGCACTGGCTTTTCGCGAGCTCCTCTTCCGGGTCCGGCAAGCAAATTGTTCGTACCGCCTTCGACAACGGAGCTGGCCTCGCCAGTTTCATCAGAGCTGCGAATTAAAACTTTCTCGTATTTTCCTACTCTCTTTCTAGGCGGAGTTTTCACCTACCAATGTCGTGCATGTAATTATTGAATCTTTCGTGAAGGATTACTCGTTCGACCGGCAGCCTAGCGGAGCCTCTTCCGCCAGAGTCCAATTCCCATTCGCCTACGACCGCCGTCCATAGCGCACCGATCGGCAAATTGAATAGTTCGCTGGAAAAAACGTATTCTTCTGTTTGGCTACGAATCGTCGAAACGAGCCTCGAATTAAAATCGAAACTCACTTGTGAACGCAATGAGCCGCCGTGACGACCCAGTTGGGTTCGATGAGAACACCGCCGCACCAGTGACCGATGAATCCCAGCTTCGGATGCAGCAGCTGAAGAGAAACCTGCCAGGGCCAGGAGCCTCTTTTGCTCGGTTTCCCGTTGAATATACGGCCGGTCGTGCTCGCTACGTTCGTTCGGTCGTCGCTTCTCGCCGAAAGAACTGCTCGTGGTTGTCTGTGCGACGCTGCTGGACATCCGCAGGCTGTTATTGAAAAACTCAAGTTTCCCACCTAGTTGATTCTTTCACGAATAATCGTTCCGATCCGTAAATAACCTGTTGATTTCACAAATGAACCTACCACAATCTTCGACTCTGTGGAATCGATCGATTTCGAACGAGGAGAAGGCGTTTCGGGAGGACCGAATTTAGGCGGGAAAGCTCGAGAGTGTAAAGAGTGTTTCGCCGTTTGCGCTTTCGCCGTAACGAACGAAAGATATTTCGCTTACCGGAATGGTTCTCCCCGAGGATCCTCGTCGGCGTCGTCCGGCCGACCTCCGCGAGAAGGAACAGGATTATCGCCAGTCCAACGCGAACACTCATTTCACTGGGTACCCGTTTCGCTTAGTCGTATCTCGATGTTCATGTTTGCCGAATCTCTCTACTCTTAGCTCTTGGCCATTCCGAAGAATCGTAGGAAAACCGAGCAACGAGAGATTTATTTTTCGACTCGGCGACGCGACACGCGACTCGATCACGACGACGACGACGCGCGTGCCTAACGCGCGAAAGATACGTCTCGTTCGACGAAAGGAAAGAGACGAGGAGGTAATCCTCGCGCTGCATCGACCACTCGAACGAGTAAATCCTTCGAAGGAACGCAGAAGAAAGTGATCGTTGACGAGCGCCTACGAAGGAGGGGAATACACACTTAGGATCGCGACGCTTACGAATGGAAACTTAAACGGATGAATATCGCTCTCACTAACGAAAGTTACTCTCGTCCGATCGGACACGTTTGTTCCTTGCTCGCTCGTCTCTCCTGCCTCCTTTTAGAAATCGTCCCGACGATTACTCTTCTCCTCTTCTACCTCCTTTTTTCCCTCGGCGACGTTCGAACAATTTTCCCACCGATATCTCTCGCCGCGTCGTGGCGATCGGTTACCGCGAGGCCGACAAATTTCCAATTCGGTAATACGAAAACGTAACAGGATGCTCGAAAGTATTTTAAAGTCGGTCTAATTGGCTCCTTCGAGATTTTCAAACGATTCGTATCGCTCCTATCCAGGCCATTCGATCGCAAAGAAAGCGCGCAGGAATGCGAGCTGGTATCGTCGAGATAATTATGTTCAACTTTAACACGTTCATTTCGCTTTTTCTTTTATTCCTCCCCGGATCGAAGCAAACTTTTTACTTGTCAACGTGAAAGAGAGTAAACCAGTTTTCTCGACATAACTGTACGTTCCTCGTACAAAGTTTCGAAGAAAATTCTTGACCGGAAACATCGAAAGCCGAGTTTTCCCTCTACGGACTACGCAGTGAAGGATACACATCTTCTACTAGGATAATCGAAAGAAACACCGTTAACGTTGCGAAATTCGCCAAGCGAATTCGTACCTTTCTATAATTGACAATATAGTTCGTTAAGCGGTAAAAAAGCGGACGTTAAAAAGATAAATAATTATTATCGTTCCGCTTCGCGCAACATCTCGAATCGATGTACATATTTCTCTGACAGTGCTTTCTCCTACATCGAACAAACACGAATGTTTCTTGTTGTCGCAACACGTTCCTCTAAGATCGTTATACCGTTGAAAATAATTAAACGATCTACATAGTTGAAAGTATCCTACTAAGTGTATTCCAACGTTTGTGCGAACATTTAGCGCGAATAAATAAACCGTTCTCGAAGATCATCTACGCCGTTATCTCCGAGCTAACGTAACATCAATGTATATCGCTATTTGATAAAAAGCAAATAAAAGCATAGATGACCTTGAAACGTCCTTTTCTTCTTTATTCTTTTTACGTGAAATTTCTGCGACGAACATTCGAGTCGAACCGTATGGGGCAAGTGCTATAATTTTAATATTAAACAAGTAGTTGCTATTGGCAAGAAAATTCTAGCTCCTGTCCATGGTTTCGCAGTAAATACAACGTTCAGGATGATATCGTCTCCTGTCGTCTGCATATACGTATAATGTATATAGACGAAACGCATTCGCCGGAACATTGATTCTTACAGTTCGTGCTTCCAGTCTACGATCTACGATGATGATTTATATATAGATTTCTTCCGTTACGCGCGTATCGGTAGAGCGGCGAGCCTACGTTTCCGAATCTACGAAATTCTCGTCTATGCTCGAAGCTGTTCGATGCTTTTTCGCTACAAGCGACAAAATTAACTAATCGAATTCGAGCGATTCTAAACAGAGACGAAAGGCTTTAAAATCTAATTAGAACACAGATTGTTCTTCGGCAATCTCTCGATAAAGCTAACTTACCGCACACGGTACGTCTACGCTGTAAACATCATTCGGCGCACGCTCGTTTATTTACCGATCGTTTATTTTACGCTAAAATAAGTAAACAAGCGTTATTTCTTACGATGCAGTCTTAAATTTTCTGAAATTTCTCTGTTCTCTTCTTAAAATGTTACTAACTATACACGTCTTTATACAATTAGGCATTCGTTTCGTTTTCGGATGCAAATATTAAACATTTTGATCGCGATCGTAGAGACTAACACGGATTGCTTTCCGTTCCTTAGAACGTAACATCCGCGTGATATGGTTCGCTTTGTTTCCTTCTTCTTCTTTTTTTTTTTTCGAGTGGTCCGTAAGTAAATGCTGCGTTCCGACGCAGCGGATAGTGCGTGATAAGGCCCTAAGTGTACGTGAGAAAAATTCATAAAAATGTTCGGCAGTAACGATAATAGACGCGCGCGAATCTCCTCTTCTAATATTACTAGTAATATTAAATAGTTTTCGAATGCGCCGGTAAGAGACGTATCGAACAGTTTCGGCCCTCGTTGCTTCTTATCGCCAACAAATAGTGGATCGTGTACGCGACGAGGAAAAAGCGAAACGAACGGATAGCTTGAGTAACGTGAAAAATTCTTCTCCCGTATCGTTGAAATCACTCGAAGATCTTGGCGACTTGTATCGTTCGGCAACGACGGCCGATCTGCCGAGGTTCTTCCTTCTGCATCGTTGACAGGTAGCAACGCAAGTGTTCGTGTCGGTGCATAAATTGTCTTTTAAAAACGTGTATACATTTATAAAAAGGAAACCTCGTCTGATATGACATTACCTAAAATAGTATTTCGGCGATCGTCTGTGTATTCGTTGCGGTTACAAACATATCGGAGGACGGCTCTTTCTTCGTTTGCGATATCGAATTAAATATGTTTGTCGCGACTGCGAGATAAACTATTAACGTGTTACCAGTTGCCTGTCAACGAATATTTAACGACGCGGTTTTCACGATCGAACCGTTGTTCGCGCGCGTCTTCGACACAATAAAGCGGCGTAATTCACGATACACTTGTCGGAAAGTTATTTACACTAAAAATAGATCGAGTTATCGGACCGAAACAATTTCTCGGTGCGGTGCATTCAAATTTACTAAAACGAAATTGCACTTAAATTTCGTTTACCGATTACTCTACGTGTCTAGGTATTTCCTTTCGAACGCTGCGATTTCGTTCTTCCGATTTTCGCCGTATAATCTCGCTAATCGAGTTTTACCGAATTTTTTCGATTAAACATTTCGACATTTCCTACGCTTTCTGTCGGAACTTTCTTCGAATAGCGCAACGTTTTTCGAACGAAAGAAATCTCCGAGTCACGGAAACGCTCGAACGCGTTAACAGTGCCTCGAACGCAAAAAGAAAATAAATTTAATCGTCGTTGAAAATATGCATGCACGTGCACCAAATACGTTCCTCCGAACGAAATGCGTACAAATTGAGAGACGTGTACGCGATCTACGAAATGGAAGGAACTTGAATACGATTCGTACGACTTTCCTCTTATCGAAGTTTCATCGTCGTTATTATTTGCTAGCCAAGTACGTATCGTAATTGAAATATTCGAACGATCGTTACTTTAAAAAATAGTTGAAAGATAACTGCCATCGGTTATAGTAATCGATTCGATCGTCCTGCAACTTATTATGCGCATAAACCTAACGATGGCAATGCCATCGGTGACAATAAGTGCGTAGCGACATCCTTAAATATACAATAATACAATAGACGTATTTAAAAAGTAAAATAATTGAAAACTAGTAGATCATGTAACTAGATACCTGCGTATACGCGTCAATAGAAATTTAGGAAAACTTCAAATACACCTTACGGAAGCTTCGTAAAGCTGACAGGTGAAAAATAAGTTACGATACGATAAAATAGAGATTAAGCGAGGCTATCGTTATTTCGTACCGCTTAAGTATTCGAACGCGAAATCGTAAGAATCGATAATACGTTATGCTACATCCATAAATACATCAAAAATTGTATATGATACATTTAAAAACCGAAGATGCGATTATAAATTGCTAGTAATATACAATATTCGAATACTCGAGAATCGACCTCGATAATTTCGATGTTCGTATATACATATTTATGTGCATATATACAACGTACCAAGTACGAATAAATAAATTAGATTGCTCCGAATAACGCGAGAAATATAATTTCAAAATATCCTGGTAAAAAATATAATTAAATACGTTTTTAGAAATTCGGATCCGAGCCGAACATTGCGTGTGCGCAGCAGGAAATCCTAAATATCGTTGTACGTACGATGAAGAAGAAAAAAAAAAAAAACGGAAAAAAAAGTAGACATAAAAAGAAAGTTCGTCGAGTCGTACGAATTTACAAAGTCTATTCGTAATCGAGGTTACGTATGTATTTAACACATGGTCTCCGAAGCTGGAGCTGGTACGGTAGTCAAACTCTTGTCGTTCGGATCGGAGCTCTCGGAATCTCGAATCGGTGGCCGCGAAAGAGTTTGTTCGATTTCTCTGGTGACGCTGATAGTAGGCGGAGGTCTTCGAGATTCTTCGTCGATGGCCGAAGCTCTGCGAAGCTGATGCCTGTGCTCGTTCGATACGAAGAACGGTGCCCCACCGGCATCGTCCGGTCCTTGCAAAGATTCCTCGTCGTCCCCGATGTATCTTCTTTGTATCAGATCTTCCATTTGTTGGTAATCGGATTCCTCGGCGTCTCGCAAGTGTTCGTTCTCGACCTGCCAAGCCATCTCCGGATTGGACATCTCCGAAAGATTTCTGACCCTCGAAGGCGGCGGAGAGATAGGCGGCGTACGAGGCGGACTAAGAAGACCGCAATAACTTTCCAATTCGTCCGTGATACTGGTATATTCGGCTCGCATCGCCAGGAGAATGGATCTTTGGGTGCTGCTGGTCGAAGAGACCGAGGGAATGACGGCAACGCGCGGTTCTGCCCAGGTGACGCCTCGCGGAATACCAGAGGGTAGTATCATCGCGTCGTCGGATTCCGAACGCGTCCTGCTGCTTTGTCTGGTAGGACGTTCCGAGGAATCTTGTCTGATAGGTTCCGAGGTCGGTGCTTCGCTGCTCGCTTCTCTGCTCGGTTCTTTGCTCGTCGCCTCTTTACTCGTCTCTCTGCTCAATTCTCGACTCGTTTGCCTGCTCGGATCCGTACTTAATTCCCTGCTGCTCGCTTCCCCACTCGCATCCCTGCTCGTCCCTTTACTGTCCGACTGCGACTCCTTCTTTATCGTCGCTCCCTCGCCGTCTCCTCTGCTCACCTCGGTCTCTTGACTCGTCGTTGTCTTCAGATCGTCTTGAACGGTGTGTCCGTCTCCGCTTACCGACGAGTCGTTCCTGCTAAGATTCTCGCGGGACGTAACCGTCTCCGAATGTTTCAGCATATCGTCGTCCAATTGTTGACCCAAGCTGAGAAACGTACCGTCCGTCAACGATCGGACGAGCCTCTTCCGTTTAGTCGCGATGCTCGGCAGCTGCGTGTGAGAGTCCGTTTCCGAGAGAACCTCCGAACGTTCCGATATTCTGCGCTGTCGGCCTTCCACCTCCAAGCCAGACAACCCTTCTATGTTGGGCATATGCGTAGCCATGAATCGGTGGATAACCCCCAGATGCGCCAACGTTTGCTCGTTCAACTCCTCCAATTTGCGTATACGAAATTCTACCGCCTGCAACGAAACCGATCGAAACGTATCATTTTGGTTTTACGATGATTTTCCAAATCTACCAAAAAAACTCTACCGTTCTTACCTGAAGAGAAGCGTTCTGAGTGTTCTCCTTCTTGTCGATATCCTCTATCTTCTGATGCATATTTTCCACCCTTTCCGTCGTAACCTTTATACGTTCTTCCGTCGACATTTGTAGCTTCAATTCTTGTTCGCGAAAATATCCTTCGACGCAGTCCTCTTCGAAATCGTACAAACGCTCCATGTCGTCCGCTTCCAGGAACAACTTCAGCCCGTTGTCGTACGTTTCGCCGGTACTTGTTTTCCCTTGAGTCACATATCGCAGCAAATATTTCACCAGCAGATATATGTGACAAACTACAATCAGCGGAGGAGGTAAAACTGGTTTCTGTTCGTACTCCATAACGACGGTAAAACGTTGGAACATCCAAACTTGATGCGCTACCGCGTTTACCTCGTTGAAGATATTATTGAAAACCGCTATCAAAAGGTTTATCAGTAAAATGTTCGCTACTAAAAGATAAATCGACATTACGGCGGGCGTGATCCAACGGCCCGGTAAGCAAGGTATCATTCCCGGCTCGTCTCCGCAATCCGGGTCTATGTTGTCCGCGTATACCTCTCCGTACAACATGAAATACGGCTCCATGAATATCTGAACAATCGAAACGTCTAATTAATATCAACGTCTATCTCGTCTACGAACACGAACAAACGTCTACGTACGTCTCGTATTATTCTTAGTTTTGGCTCGGCATTTGGATTCAATATAGCTTGCCGAGTCACTCCGAAACTCATTAATACGACGGTTAACAGCACGACGAAGTATATCATGTTTTTCACCATTTTTCCCATCATGGTAACCAACGGACCTGAAGCAAGAAAAAAAAACGAACGATTCGTTTAGTCGGTTGATCGAGTCTAACCGAGTTTCGCGATATTACGTACCAAAGTACTTGTTTACACCAAGAATATTTAGTATCCTTAAGTACCAATAAATGCAATCGACACAATAAATGACGCGACCAACGTCGAGGGTGGAATGCCGTAAACGTAAGGCCAGACCAATTTGAAAGAAAATTATTGCTGCCGCGTCGCAGGGATTCCACATGTTCCATGCCCATACGCTGAATTTATGCGAAAGCGTGGCCGGCTCGGAGGTTGCGATTTCCCTTACTTTCTCGCATCCTAACGTGCATATGTACGCGATCGCGTAAATTTCTGCCAACGAGGGATGATCATCCATGTGTATGAGTATGCAATATGAAAAGAGAACCAAAAAAATAATGTACGCTATCTGCAACCGAAAAAAGTACACAAGTAACGTTTAACGTCGAACGTAGTACTCGACGCTCGGGTCGAGAGAAAGCGATTCCGGTAAACGTCCAACACTCACGGCGTTTGCCCAAAATTTAGTGATGGGCGCTGTGTAAAATTCGTACAACTTTCTCTTCAGCCTCAGCGGCCTGCTATTCTTGATGTCATAGTAGTCGGAATGAATACCGTACGCTCGATGGATCAGGTCGTCGCTGTCTGTTAGTACTTTACCGTTCTCTTGCACGATCGTTTCCTTCGCTATTGTCGTAGTATGCTCGTTGCTGATTAAAGCCTACATCAAGAAAAGAAGAGAAATTCCAGTATAACGTATACGCGTGTATCTCGCGTTAACGGTACGGGACATTAACACATAAATAGAAAGGAATCTCTCTCTGTCTGGTGTACGTATATATAATAACAATCGGACGTAGCTCGATAATTATCTTTGCTGATTACCGATCGTTCTCGGGAACCATTTACGGTACGAATGTAAATAGAACGATGCGTAATACGCGTGTGTAATTAAGAAGGAAGCAAACACCGAAACAAAAATATTTATCTAGCATTCTAACAACAACAACAACAACAACAACAACACCGTTAAAGGTAGGAAATGCTGGATACAACATACATTGTTTTTGCGCGAGTACGTAAGATCTTATTCCGTGCGATCGCGTACAAGTCTTTCTTTAGAATCAGGGGGTTGCGTTACAGGGATTTTACACGCGGAATAGCATTCTACGGTATCGTATACCACAAGGATCTTACACGTGTATCGGAAGGGCTAAATCGTGTTACGATGGAAATGATAACAGCAGCATATACAGCGTTAATACGGCTATGGCTCTATTAATACGTGGGTAAATTCAAAGAAAATACCTAATTCAATCGCTACAAGGTTTAAAGTAGAAAGCGATGAACAGAGTGCAATTCGTGTGAAAGAGTTATGGCCGTGTAAAATAGAAAAAACGGTTAGTGCAATTCAGCGATATTATATATAGCACGGGGGAAAGTGGCAACTGGAAACGATCACGAGACGATTCTTTCTTAAAAGATACGACACGCGCTTCGGCTATCGAGCGAAATAATTTCTTCTCGAAGAGGAAACGAAACATACACGACTGACAATGGTTAGAGACTTTAACCGCGATCGAAAACATCGGTATGTCGTAGCGACGATTCGAATAAAAATCTATACATTTTAATATCCCACTGGCTCGCATCGTCCACGCTTATACCGATATTTTATACATTTATTATATTTATATTTATATTTATATTTATATGTATACGTACATACGCATATACATATATATATATATATATATCTGACATCGAACAAACAATTCTGGTATTAGTATTTTTATAATATAAAACGATTCTTTAAAAGTAGAAGCGTTAGTTATCATCCTCACCGGTACGGATTCCGATACTGAATAAATAGAAGTTTTCCTTGACGATAACTAATAACATAAGAAAGATAGTTGAAAAGTGCACCGGAAAGTGTGAATTGACTGGTCATAGAATTCATTGCATTTCAGGCCATTATAGAAATACCTTAGCGCCTTGTTGGCTGCTGGATTTGTTGCGTACACTCAGGCTCCTGCGGTGACGTTTCTAAAAAACAATTCATACGCATACCCACATAGTCTATGAGTCACAACAACATTTCAATACCTCTAAAAGTGAGCGACATGTTATACATATTGTTTCAGTACCGATTGCTTTGCCGAACATTTCACTGCCCATCTACACAGGATATTTAAATATACATATTTTAGCAACATCGTTCTTTGTCCCGTCACGTTAAACAAGTTAAATATAACAAATTTAACTTTCAAGCTTACAGTTCAATTAAATAATTAATAATTAATAATAATAATAATAACGCTGCGAGTCTCGATCGGAGTATTTAAGAAACAAAAGGGGAATAAAGGGGGGGGAATAAAACAATTTACAAAATACTTTGTTTAATACTGCACGAATAGAACCTACATGCGTATACGTTTTCATATAATACGGTTCAAAACCAGCAACCATATGTACCAACCGTGCTACCGTCAAAAGCTATACTTTTACGATTAAACTCTATTCCAAATAATCGTTAGAGCGATTATAATACTGATGTATACTTAAATATTTCGATTGAATTTCTTATATGTATTCGTACTTCAAACTACGTAATTATATTCGTATCACGAGTGTTACGAGTATTACAACATAATAAAGCCGTGATTACCACTATGTTCAAAAATAAATCAACAATTGCAGCATGGAATGTGTAATGATGAATTGAGTGCAATGCAGTGATAGCCCATATTAATCGATATAAATCTCTATTATTACATCTTCGTAAGAATTTTCTTTGCTCTTATACAAGTCGCACTAATACCGATCAAGAAAATTACTGACCACTCGAATAGTTACTCGATATCTTTTACGGTAATTCGATGAAGGATGAAATCGTTACCTCGACGTCTGGCCCAGTCGGAACGCCATGCTCCGAATCGCTATCTTCCTTTTCGTCTTCGAGAGCGATCAAATGTTCTTCTTGAGTTTGAGGCATCAATTGCAATTCTTCGCGACTCTTGAACTCCAAACGCGTTATGTAGAAAGGGCAAACCAATCCGAGCACTACCTACGTTCGAAAAACCTAGTAAATTTAACCGCGAACAAATCGCGCAACGGTATTACGCGTATACGGTGTCTGCTCACTTTTAAATTCGTATTCTTCCGCGTCCGAAGACCGCCCATCCACAAATCTGCCAAAATGATCTGACTGCAAGGATGCGCCAAAAGCGGACGATGATTAGCCGTGACCGCCAACGAAAGACACGTCTGACCAGACCAGTTTTGAAGCTCGGAAGTTAACAATTGTTGAGTTTGATCGTCGTCTTGACGGTAACAATAATCCAGCAACTCCAAAGCTGCAATACCGAAAGAATGTAACAAACTATATATGTATAAATCTGTATCAGATATTTGCCTACCGATGTTTTCGAATTCTTTCCCGTAGCTCCGCAATTCGTCGTAAACTTCTGTCTCGAGGTCGTCCTCGGCAGCTTCGTGCGCCATTGCTTTGTACAGTTTCAGGGCAACCAGTGCTTTAGCTAAAGCTTCCTCCCCGTGTTGCCACATCAGCAACGCCATTTGTTGACGTTTCGTTAGCACGGCCCAAATAAGCAATTCGTTAAAAGGGTAATCGAAAAGCGGAGTGTCGCGATTAGCCGGTAAAGTTTCGGCGAGCAAACTCATCGTTAAACTATCTTGCTTGCTACCGGATCCTGAATAATACCGAGCACCGCTACCCATCACGCAGCTATTTCGATGCATATGCTGCGGATGACCGCCGGATCTCTTCATCACTTTGGTATAGATCACGCGAAACCTTCTTCGAGTGTATTGCGAACGGTACGCTCCGCCCATTAATTTATTTATCACGAGACCGATGTCGTGCAACGTGTACATGTAACCGCGTGGAATATTTGGCCTTACGTCGCGAAGAATATAACCTAACGTGTTCGAAGGTCCTTCTTTCTATGTAATCGACACGAACGAACAAAGTTAATCGTTGAAAATATTTACGAGCTAATCGGATAAATAACAAACTTACGGTATTGTATAATTCTTCGAGCCGTGGGATCGATAAAAATTTACGCATGGAAACTCCGTTCTCTAACAGGAGCTTTACGAAATCGATCCTATCGTGTTGCAAAGCTTGCATCATTGCTTGATCTAAAGCACCGGCTGGCCAATTCTGGCCATAAACGAATATTTCGCTACGCGCTATGTCCACTCTGTTCCAAATCAAAGACAAGGACAGCTGTTCAGCGGGCGACAATTGTTTAGATTTAAATAAAGCTGTCAGTATCGTTTGATCGAGCTCCTGAGGACGATCTTGAGTTATTCTAAATACCGTGATCTGTAACCGTTGCGATTGCAATTTTCATCCAACAGAAAGTATGAATAACGTTACAGAACATAACATGTATGTATATACTCACCAAATGCTTCTTACGTGTACACTGCAAAAGCTCGGAGTACAATTGAGATGCTTGTTCGGCAGTTACCTTAAAGGTACGCTTGATCGTGTCTAAAAGCTGTTCTCTCATACTCTCTAGTGGTCCCTCGTTTTCTCCGTTTTCTCCTTCTCCTTCTGACGCGTATCTAAATTTATTTCGATTATCATTCCGAATCGATAACGGACAAAAAGTAATGAGTAATCGTTATATCGTTACTTATGCATAAAAGCGATGAGATCAGCCGCCCGACCAGAGCCATCGCAAACTACTACAGGAACCGGAGGAACATCCGTGACATACTCTAAAACTGACCGAATTGTATTCGTGCCTCCTTCGATCACCAACGCTACGACTGGTATACTGCTATGTGTATCTGTAAGAAAAAATCGATTAGCCTCGCGAACGTTGTTAACAGAACGATTATTAACAAAGTATTTCAACTATTTTTTACATGGCTGTAATTTCAGATTAGAAATATATTTTTCCAATCTCCTACGCAATACGATTTCAGCACCGTATCGGCCACCAGTACCATTGTCCACCAATAAAAAGTATGCATGCCGATTATTTAGAACCGCGTACTTGGACCTGCAAAATCGTAATAAATGCACGAGTAAATTATATAGTAAATATTTTCAATGGATTATTAGGATACGTTAAGAAAATTTCTAATATCTTACCACGGCGACGAAAGACAATCGTAAGAGACTTCGCCTCCTCGGGTAACAAGTTCGTGACTTTTATCTAAAATTCCCCATGGTGCTATACCTATGCTCACCACGCGACCTTGCCTTTGTGATTTTTCCAATAATAATGCATCTCCTACTTGCCTCGTGATACCTGTACGTACACCAACAATTTTTAATCGTTCGAATCTTAATGTGATCCTAATGGAAAATATCTATTTCAGTCTACCTGTATTGGTGCCTCCTGTAAATATCCACGCTCCGGTTGTCTTTGCAGCCTTCAATAAACCTTTCCTTAACACTTTCTTCAAACTAGGCTGAAGTTCAAAGTTAGACCGACCACCATGCACGGTTATCAATAATTTAGGTAATCCCAAATTCCATTCTCTGCACAATAACTGTACTATTGGCTCTGGCCGCGTATCATAAGCTAGTCTTACATACTGAAATTCGAGATTACGGAGATTAATGTATAAATTAGCTTCACGTGTACGTTTTATCTGTACGCACTGTATTTCATTGTTCTTTTCATTCACCTGCGCTTTCGTTGGATGTGGTCCACCTTGAAATTCGATTGTACCGTACGCGTCAGTTGGGAATGGACGCGTGTTTTTTGCCGGTGACCATTGTTCTCGATCCTTTTCTTTGGTATTGCTAGCGGTATAACTTTGAACATCTACACCGGCTCTGCAATGATGAGTATACGAATACCCGCAGCAACATCTATAATAGTCGATCTGTTATTGCAAGTTTTTCCCTTTACTTTAAAGAAAGAATTAATTGCACCTGGATACGAGTAAATATATATTACAGAATTCTAATTGTAATTGTATCCTTTTGCAATTCGTTTCTTCCTCTTAATCTCAATATTATCTACGACTGTACAACATATACTTTATTTTCTCTTGTCAGATAACTCGGATAAACTAGCATTAACTACTGCAATTATTTCTTTTCTTTCGGCGTTTCGAATTACCTCTATATAATGTATTATAAACTCGTGATATTAAGATATAGTACTTGTTACACAAAAATAATCGAATATTGTAGCTGCATGGTATGATAAAGAAACGATGGATATGAGCGCCAACGCGTTATGAAGCATTCGATGAAAAGCAACAAGTAAAACAAGTAGCGAATCTAAAATAAAATTTTCAACAAAGTTATTTAACGCAAAACAATTATTTCATTAAAATATGTGCGTGTTATACGTAAAATATACCATAAATGTTTGAAGCAGTTCCTGTACAAACCGTTATTCGCTGGGAACTGCATAGAATGCATGTAACGTGATATAACAGTATTTTATTAAGAGCGAAAACTTTCAATTAAAAATCCATTATTTAACTAGTGGTAAGAAAAGTACAAACAATATCTATTCCTTTTAGCGATTAATTGATATATTTGCAGAAGCAATATTATATAATTTTTCACAAACCACCCATCTTTATATAAAAAATAAACAACTTTTAATCGCGACAAAACCTACAATGAATTCTCACCTGGAAGTAGTGATCACATCATACTCTGCGTTCTTATCTCCCTGTACTTGAATAAACCTACAAATGGAATGAAACAAAGAAAAGTAAAGTAAAAGAAAACGAACATAAATAATATGTTAGTAGCAATCTAGAAACGTATACAAGTAGATTTCCAATAATATTTTATTACTATATTGAAAGCTATATTTATAACTGTAAACATAAATGTACCACCGAAAATATTTAAAATAATTAGAAAATTCGCAATCATCGTCTACAAATTTCTTATATTGCCTCTGCAAAAATATTCCCCCTTCGAAAACATCAAATATGTATATGTAAATATTTATTAAACATTACTAATCAAATTTAACTAAAGAAGTAATAATAAATATGTATGACAATGATGTATAGCGGAAATAAGAATGATGTTAAAAGGATGGTTATGTTTAAAAACAGTTATTTCGAAAATAACATGTAAAATTTCCTAAAATCTCTATCAAATTTTATGCGCTTCGATTAAATGTATTCAATATTTCACTTGACTGCGATATACGATACGAAAATGTGCCTTCTAAAAAGTAAATAAATCTGGAAACGATAGCGTTACATACTTATGCTCATCTCCGGCGCTTGGAATAAATTTTGAACATTCCCTCTTTTGAAAAGTTGCTTCTATCCAACTGCGTTCGGTTACCTACAAAATTTCTTAATAAATTATCCTCACCAAATAATAAGGGATTAAGAATAACTTTCTAACATTTTAAATATACCTGAAAAAACATTCCGAGTATGTACTATAACTTATTACGCTTGTTACAAAATCATGAGACAATAGAAATTAAAAAGAGAAAAAAAGAAAAGAAAAAATTCAATACCTTTGCCTTTTTTCTCTTCACTGTAGGAGTAGCAGCTCCACAAATAATACTTCCAATTGCCATTTTAATATATATATCGCAACATATATTCAACTTAAGATTAACCAATAGCCTAACTAAAAAAGAACATTAAGCAGAACTAAATATAAATCGATAAAAAATAATAACTAAATTCTGTACAACATAAATACGTGCAACGCGTGAATACAGAATACCGTATAATAACAGAACTTAAACTAAACAAGTTTGTTAACAGGGAAGCTAAAATATAGGTGTATAAAAATGTATAAATTGAGTCAAACGTAAAAGTTAGACAGTGTACGATTGCAAGAGATAAGATAAGTGAAACAGATAAGGAAAATACACTAACATTCTCTGTTGTAATACATTTTTTTTAAGAGAATCTGGTTAAAACTTAATTAAACGTCTAATAAGATACAATGCTAGTATTTTCATTTTGGCAATTAAATTTAATTTATTTAACTTACTATACATATGTAACTTCCATACTTTAATATTTAATATTATTATTGTGTAATGAAATAATATAACTGTATCACGTGTTTAATTTAAATTACATAAATACATAGTAGTAAATTAAACGAATAGCAAGTAACAAAGTTTCGCAAAATCGAACCAACAAATGTAATTAATTAATACAACAAAACTTTTAATAAATTTTATGACAAAATACTTTGCCGTACTCACCACTCTGCAACTTTTGGTTTTGTCTATCATATCTACATAGAACTGCATGAACACTACCAGCGTGTGTTTCAAATTTAATTAAATAATATTATTTCCAGTTACCACTGTAATAGCAGTAAATATTTAGCTGGTATAAACGAAACAAGTTTATCTGAAAAAAGATTGGAAATCCAAGTCTGAAAACTTTATGAAAGATACTCTATTTTGTTTATCGCTTATAATTTACTAAAAATTTTAAATAATAATACATCAATTCTAGTTTACCGTGTATTATTACATATATTTATGGCAAGAGAATTAACAGAGAGTCATGTTCAAACGCATATCATGCTTGAGACATTTTAAAATCGGCGGGAAAATTTACAATCTGTCATGTGCTTAAAAGTTAACCTGAAAAATAATATAATCACAGAATCTCTTTATAAAACGATTTAATTATTTTATCGTAATATGAAATAATATTTTAATTAACAAACCTTCGAACGTTAATTATTACATACTATACAACAATACTCGTACACACGTACAAACCTTTGAATTATGCGTTCAAGTTACGGTATTCATAGTGCACGTAAACGTAATACACGCGAAGGAAACACGGTCGAGTGCATTCGTATTTTTTTTATAATCCCTTTTATAATTCATAAACTTTTTTTACATCACTCTATTAATTTTATACGGTATTTATGTAAAATGTTTGCATTTTTTTACGTTGCAGAACGTTTCGCTATTTAATTGCGATAATGTTTTAGAATACAAGGAAATATTTTCACAATTTAGTAAAACTACGTACAGAAACGCTTTATACAAGGAATTCGTTCCATCATCCTCGTATCATCCCTTGAAAATATCGAGCTTGCTCCCCTGCATCGTTACCGACAAAGTAGGCCAAGAACAAGGTTAACTCTAACATTGACTCGAAGATATCGGCAGTAGTATCAGCTGCAACGTTCAAATCGTAAATTCTAAATTCATGTTCCCGATTCAAATTTAACTGGTACAATACACACACATATATATGTAACGATATAGTTATCGCTTAAATACACCTCATATTTCTAACATTTCTATTCCTTTGGCAATAAGACATTAATCCGTAATTATAAAAAAAGATTTTCATTACAACATCCTTGAATCTTTCCGTTCTTTTCGTCGTAAAAATATACCGTATATTCATCATATACGGTGCCGATTTTAAAGCGTACGATACATGTTAATTAATTTTAGAAATTTTTTATCTCATTATACATCGAGATAGGCTATTTTGACAGGTATTTGCCTAATCTGTACACCCCCTTATGCATATTCGACGCAGCGCCATCTAGCAGCGATGAAATTAAAAAGTATCGGTAAATTTGTATTCGCTTATAAAAGTAAATAGGATTTAAAACAGTTTTTATGTGATGCTAATCGTCTAAAAATATTACCAAAATAAATTTCATAATGTATTTTATAGTCATATTAAAGTGTATAACAAAGTATGTAGTACTGTACACATTAAAGTTTTTACTCTGGCTTTTCAGGAAGAGACACTTTAGGTTTATTAGATGATTCTGACTCTGCTTTACTGGCTCTGTTCGATCGGAGAACCGCGCCTGGACTCGGGTATGGTCTCATTTGATAAAGTGGACCCGATGCAGTTGTGTCTGCACCTGTTTTAGCTTCATTGTGTCTTGCTAAACCATCCGACCATTTTCCTCTACAAAATAAAAGTAAAAAAGAGTAATAGTTTTTAATAATTCATGAATAAGTATAACAATTATTAGAGAATCTATTGTACCGTGGAATATCACTATAAGACGCTGGATCCATAGGATCTAATGTACGATCTTTCTTCTCTTTATTTTCTAATCGTTCCACTCTTTGATTTCTTTTACTGTCTCCTGATTTATGTTTTGATCTATTTTCCACTTTTCTATCCTTTCTATCCGATTTTACTTCTGCTTCATCTACCTAATATATAAAATTATTATTTAAAACAATTTCTTACGAAAAACATAAATATATAGAATAGCAAATCGATGACTAACTTCCATCGGTTCTTGATCGCTACCGCTATCATCGCTCGACATGTTATCATCTTGATCCGCTGCTTTAAGGTGCAATTCTTCTCTCAATTGAGACGCAGGTTGAGATATTTGACATTTTGGATGGCCAGGTGGTAACCAAGACACTAAATCGGACGACCAATCCCAATAATAATGTTGTCCACTGTCGACAAATTGGAAACTAGTTAACGCGAGTAAGAAATTAAAAATATTTCTTACAAGATTGTGACCATTCGTTAAATACTCACGACCCTGGATCATAAACAGCTTTCCAAGTTTCTGGTAAAGGATACTTTTGTATCAATCGCATCTGTTTTTTCAAGTATTTGTCAGAGGGTTGCACATGTCCAAGCCCCCACAATTCTTTACATTTTTTAGTACACTCATGATAAATATTATACTTATTTGGACAACCACTGTATCCCTAAAATGATAATCATGATTAACATTTCTAGATATTGACATCAGTACGATATATATTTACACCATGAAATAGCTATATCCGCTTCCAAACTGAGTTCAAAATTCCAAGAAAACGCAGCGCATCGTTGTAGTCTAAGTTTTTATTTTATACTAATTTTTTATATAACATTTACCATGAACTTCTGCGAAATATCAATTTGATTAATCTCATCTTTGGTACTATCATAATCCTCGGCTATTACTTCTTCGTGTATCTTCTTCTTTGTTTCTTTTTTGGAAGATTCTAGAAATAGATGAAGCTTTAATTTTGTAAGTATTTGTACTTTTAATATACTACTATATTATTTGATAACTTTCTGTAACTTTCGTATTAATTGTAATGTGTCTAGTTGGAAAGCGTTCATAAAAGATAATTAAAAGATAGGAAAAGATAACATAATGATATAGAATAAAAGAATGTGATAAATAATAAATTTTTTCTTATACTTAGTACATATTTAATTAATAAGTTTATATATACCCTGTTTTTCAGATCCAGAAATGAGCCCTCTTTTTGCAAGACGTGCAGCTAATGCCGCTGGAAGTGGCATTATATATTTCTGTTCATAAACAATAAAATATTCTTTAAATACATTCAATTTGGTACATTATGTACTTGTTATTTATAAACATAACATCATATACAAGTAACATTTACGGAGCATAAACGTTAAAACGCTGATATCGTGGTTATCATCATTAGTATTTCGCATAACAGTACTATTGGCGCCATTTAACGGTGAAACATTGAAATCAAATAATAAGTAATTCACATTTGCATCGCAAATATAACGTTAACTTGCGTGCAATGGGCATTTTATAGAAAATTGGATGACTTTTATATAAATAGTTTATACTTAACCTTTAACAATTGTCAAGTTAATTATATAGGTCTTCTAAACTTAAAGGCAAACGACGAGACGTTTCTCACCCTACAGTTATCCTTCTTCAAAAGTAGCTTATGTAGCAAAATGTTACATCTACATTCGCATATAGAGTAAATATTCGTATAAATTATACATATGTGTATGTTATACCTATAGCTCTATATATGTGTGTATATATATATCTACTACTGGCATCATCTGGTCGTGAAACTGTGTTATGTCTATACAATATAGTAGCTATCCACATATCGTAGAAAAGGAATTGTCGCGTTCGTGATTTACGAACAACAAATGGCTAACGCATTAGGCGCAGTTGATTGGGAAGGTAGATGTTGTTTAACACGAATATTGCTTTCATTAATATAATCTTGCCGTTATCAATCAATGAACATGAAAAGATTTTATAGCAAATAATATACCTTGTTTTGACATATGTCATTTTGATACTAATTTAATTTTCTCCATTATATCATACACATAATTATAAGCTTATTTTAACTCTTCTTGTTAAAATTGAATAAAAGTTGAAAATTTTCATTTTCCAGATTTTGTCAATTTCGAATATTTTATTTTCCTCGCATCAAGAATCATTGGAAATAAAACGAATATAATTGCATGAATTTTTTATGCTTATACATATAATTGTAGCTTTAAAATTATTTCCATACAATTTTAAACAAAATTTTATTTCAATAAATTGTTTCGTATCGATTATCATATAAATTACATATGTGTATCGTAATGTTTCTTAACCTCATGAAGCTAGTTTGTCCGTGTTTCTTTTTTTTTTCTTTTCGACAAACATCAAATTTTCATAATATTTTTGCTCATGGTTGTTTGTAACGAAACGTTTAAATTCATTTTAATTGGCGGCGATATTTACAAGCTGAACTTAAGCAATACCATTATTAATTTATAATTACACAAATTAAAATAAATCAGTACTAATATTATACTTTGTTTTAGATTTAAGACGACAAGCGAGGCATTTAGAAAATGAAATCGATGCAAAATTGGTAGCATTTAGCAAGCTTGGGGTCAATACCGGAACCAAGCTAGTTAATGCAGACGAAGTGCCACTTTTGGACGAAGAGCATGTCTTTGAAAATATGGCTTCTGAAATAGAAGCATTGCTTGCCAAAGTAAGTTGAAAATATTGGGTTAGGCTTCAGTAATCCAAGTTGTCTATATTTGATAGTTATTCTCTATAAACGAAAGAATGAGCGAGTTACAACCAAATGGCGCCGCGATGCTGCATACTATGCAACGTCACAAAGATATACTGAAAGATTATAAACTGGAATTCAGTAAAATTAGGAATAATTTTGCGGCAAGAAGAGATAGAGAAGATCTATTAGGAAGCGTTCGCAAAGAAATCGAGTAAATATAACAATTATGTCATCATCCAAAATAATTATTTTCATTTTCATACTTTTAATCGAATATATTCGAATCTTTTATGGAACAGTAATTACAAAAGCGTAAGTGGACTTAATCGTCGGGAAATGTATTTAAAAGAGAACCAACACATTCACAAGTAAGTATGATTCAGAATACATTCGCGGCCGGGTGCACATTATTGCTACATTGGCAAGTGTGATAAGCTTCCTAGCGAAAAGGGTAGTACACAGGAGAAAAGGACATCACCATTTACTGGTTATAAATTTTTTATAACCAAGTAAATTTAGGAATTTAGAAATTTGCAAATGTAGAACCGTAGAGGTTCAAGAATTCGAAAATTTCAACTTGACATATTTAATCGTTCAAAATTAAAGACAATCGATGGGAAACTCCTGCCTTGACATTTTTCCAAAATCGAAAGGAAGCCTATGTCGCTACGGAATGTACACGGTAAAAACTATGTATCCATTCTTTGTTAAACATAAAGTTAACGGAAACTTGGTTTTTCAGTTCGGATCGTTTACTCAATGATCAAATAAGCATAGCGATGGAAACTCGCGATCATCTGATGACTCAGAGACAGACATTCAAGCGTTTACAGACCAGACTAAACGATATCTCAAACCGATTTCCAGCAGTAAACAGTTTATTGCAAAGGATAAATCTGCGTAAAAGACGAGACTCTCTTATTCTTGGTCTCATCATTGGATTTTGCACATTTCTTATGCTGCTATATGCTTTTCATTAAATAACTTTCTATACCAAAGTACTTCCGCCCCCTGTGAGGTTACTAATTCATCGATGGAAATGCAAATATAAGTAGAAGAGGTATTTGGTGACTGTATTTTATGACATATAACAGATATGAGACGTTGAAACTGAAAAATGCCTGTTTATGCACGGTCGCGTAAATGAATTATGAATGGTCGAACGAATGTTTCTGTCCTTATAAGAAAGTAAGAAGAAATGTTAAATTGTACAGTTTTTTTATTGCCTAACATAAGTCGTGGGTCAAACCATGTAAAAAAATTTAATCCACGATTGACATGTTAATAAACATTAAAATGAACGGTGGATATTTTACGCATTTTAAAATTATTTGTACTTGTTTTCGATCTTCCTATATACACGTTTATGTCGTTCGACAATTATCAGAAAGAAGATTGAGTATGTTTGTGCGTCAGGCTACTATGATTATTTAAACGGAAAAACTTTATAGCATTAAAATCGAAGAGAATAAGAACTGTATCGTTTTATATATGTATAAAAGAAAAAAAATTTAACGAAAATCTAAATTAACTGCTGCAGTACAATAGACTGATACTTATGTAAGACATTTTATTTGCTATTCATGTAATTTTACGCAATGCAGAGTACCAAATCTGCGTTTGCAACAAAAAACAATTTACATGTTTTTTTTTTTTCATTTACTGGAAATCCAGTAATAAATTTTATACGCCTATGAATTAATGTTTTTCGTACGCGCATTGGCGTGACTAGGCTTTTTGCTCAAGAGTACAGATACGCGTAAGATCATCGCCACGTTGTGTAGTTATATGTACAGAATGGCGTGTAGCACTGAAGGGTAGTAGTCAATTTCTCATTTGGAAAAATTTCAGTTATTACATTTCTATACCTTTGAATTTCGAACTTTCCAAATGACCAAATTTTGTTAGTTCATAAATACGGGAATTCGAGAAATCGCTAACACCTTGTTACTGCTACCCGCCAAGCATTTCAGAGACCACTTTAATTGCCTATCATCGCGTTAAATCACCACGCCTTGTATAGTTACCGGTTGTACGGTTAAACGATATATCGTCACGTTACAGCGGAGGCAGAGGATCAAGCCTATCTCGAGACCTACACCTAATTACGCCAATGCTGGTATGCCTTTTCGCGGGTACAACGTATACGTGTAAAGCAACAAGAGGAAAATGTGGTATACGCATCGTTATTTTCAGTTACACAACAATGGAGGAAAGTAATATTAACGCGAACGTTACAGTAATAATGGTGGGCTTTGATATTCGAAAAATCGATTTTTCTTTAACATTAGTTTTCATTTTTTTCCCCTTTTTCGTCTTCTTACGAAGTGTCGATTTTACATACACAAACATTTATACATATATATATATATATATATATATGTATATATATATATATATATATATATATATATATATATATACGTATACATGTATAGAGTCTTCAGAAATCGCTCATTCAATTTCACAAAACACAGCACAGAACGAAAGAGAATCGTTTCGGCAAGTGCAGTGCCTGTTTCCACGTATACTAGATACCACATTTATAAATTACACCTTGTCTGTAATAGGAACTCAAGCAAGAATTGTAAAAATATTGAATATAAGGTACACGTGTGACCTAAAACTGCTTTATATTCTTTAATATATATATTTACACTTTGAAATCTTTCGTATAAATCACAAATCACTTTCGGTATTAAAATTTCGTCAAACGACTTTCCCGTTCCCGATTAGTTTCATTATAAGAATCTCCACGTTCGTAATAAATTAGAAAAATCGAACGATATAAAAGCACGAACGAATATTTCTTTACAAGAAAGCAATCAATCTCGTTAAAAAGGACTAAAACAACGAACGAATACTATTCGATATTATTAAATCGTCTCTGTGATAATATATTAATAAATAATTTACTGGTACGGTTACGTGTAATATCGAATTTTACAAAAATTACAACGTAATAAAAAGATTTATATTTTAGTTACGTACGCAACGAATCTTTCATTTATATCTCTCTTGTTTTATAAATGCAATATGTAGTGTATCCGCAGAAACGTAGTAGTTTTATCTCTCGTACGCTACGTCAAAACGATTTTTCTTTTCCTTTCTCGTAGTAAGGACAATTACGAAGACAGGAAAATATTCACGGTGATAATTTCTGATTTTACAATGTTCGAAGATCGCGCGAACATTTTCTTCGTAATTAATCTGTTTTTCTAATGGAGATTCTACTTAAAACGAATTTTTTATCTTTTTTTTTTTTTCTTTCTATCCTCTCCTCTCCCACCCCGCCCCAACACTCGCTGCTGCCCCGTTTAACTAATCCGAATGTTCTTTCCGCTTTTACCGTTTTTCCGACAAAAACGATAGATCACGAGATCTAATTCGCTCGCTCAGGCGTACAAACAACAGACATCTACTCGCATGACTACCTTTATGATTTTCGAATATAAATATACTGCCGTATGTATCGTTGAAACTAACCATTTCTTTTCAACGTTCACTACTCATAAATTGAGAATATTGGGAGACGAGATTTGATTCTCTTTTCCTTCCTACTTAATAATTTCTTTTAAATCTTCACGCTATTCGTATCATTAAATTACCTAATAAAATTAGTAGTAGTAGTAGTAATAGTAATAGAAGAAGAAGAAGAACAAAGACGAAATAATAATTTCTTCGGTCAGATTACAAAAGGATGAATTTATAAAAAGAGAAAAAAAGTGTTAATTACGCTACATTGGCACTTGTTTGAAAACGATAGATATCTCTTTCGATATAAAGTTTTCCATAGCACAAAAATGTTTGTTTATCTCGTCTCTCTATTTCTTCGTAATAGTAGTAATTATTCTGTTTTCAGTGGGAGTACTAGCACTAATAATAATAGCAGTAGTGTAATAATATTAATGGTAGCAGTAGCAATGGTCATTAATTAACTATTCGATCACTTTCAGCGATTAAATAAAAATTGGAACAGTTCCGTATACATCTGTACTCTCCAGCGAGAACTGATCGTTAAGCGTTGCTCTTTTTTATATAGTACTAATACTACTTTATTTTTCGTCCGAGTTACACTTCGGTCGCGTCGATCAGTCACAATACACAAGCGAACACTTTTCAATCGATTCTCACTGGACGTTGCTTGCATTTCCAAGATATGATTAGCGTTAAGATACAGTTTTTAAGTCGTACGAATCGCTATATCATCTCGTGTTTTCGTTTCTCGTCTCGCCGTCACGAATGCGAAATAAAGCTATCCAACGTTAACCGAAACTCGCTTACACCCGTGATTTTCATCGATGAAAACCTAATCTGCTCTATAAGCGATAATACATTCTACGAATTCTATCTTATTCCCGCGCGCAAACAACTTGCTAACAAGTCTGTTACGCGCGTAATCATAAACTGTATAAAATTAAGGTTTCTGTGTTCTTTCGACGACGTGGAAAAGATGAATGAAATCGACGGAGGGCACAGTCTATGACTAAAATAAAAATTAAAAGGTTGAAGAAAGAAAAAGGGAGATAGATAGATAGATGGATAGATAGATAGATAGATAGATAGATAGATAGATAGATAGATAGATAGAGAGAGAGAGAGAAAGAAAAAACAAATTCTAACTACTTGCAACATTCGTGTATATCGAGATGCGACGGCCGAGAAAATACGTTTCGTTAAAACTTATAAAATAAAAACGTGAAAATCTAACGAAGAGATACGTTTAGATTTGAAAAGTTCATGAAATTGGAAACGTTCGTGTCACGCATTCATTTCACTCGTAGTATTAGACAGGACAATAAAACACTGTTTGGTAGATGTTCATCTTGAAGACTACCTTATACATCTTGATAATTAACACGTCAATCCACGTTTTCCCACGCATTTGCAAATGCACCCTCTTCTTGGGTTTTCTCGAGAATCTTACGAAGAGGGATTTGTCCATCGTACGTTACACATCCGTATTAGCCGCTTCTTTTGGTCCTATTTGGTGAATTATAATATATAATAATTCTAATTATTACGTAGATTTCAACGAAACGAGAATTACGAGTGAAGAGGCAATTAAACAGAGAGGTAATCATTCACCTATGAAAGCGAATCAACGTGATGTTCAAAATGTAAGTTCCTCGGTATTTTCCGAATCCGATGAAAGTTCTTGTCGTAATATCTCCATACAGGACTTTGGAATAAGGGTACCAACTATCTTCAATCCTTCGTCTGTTGAAAAAGAGAAAAATTCGTAAGAATTCGTAAGAATTCCTAGCGATATTTCGACATGCGTGGAAAAGAGAAATTGATATGTATTACCGGTTCGTAACCGCACAACTTGCATCTTCGAATTGTGACCGGAACGTGTCGCTAGAATGCTTTCTACTCGACTCCATACGCTTAAAACTGAACCCGACAAAACATTGTAGGAACGCCTTCGCAGTCCAACCTCGCAGTCCATACCAATAGTTACGTTTTTACAATTACCGCGCCAATAAGCGTGAGAACACGTATCTACGGAAGCTTCGTACTGTTGCGACCAGTGCGGTTCAGCTTCGTCCGAAGATACCTTTTTATATTTCTTTTCTAATTCGCCAAGAGTTTCTTGTCTCAATTGTAATCCTGTATTGGGCCTGTTGAAAAGAATACCATGTATTATTTTCAATGGTCAAATCAATAAAATAACGTGTTCAGCTATCTAAAGTTTTAATAGAGTTCTTCCGAACGAAATAAATTTAATACTGCACCTATAAACCATATACAGTTGATCTTTCTTGCTTTCGGACTTTTTCTTGCTACCGGTGTCCACCGCGACCGCGAGAATCGCCGTTTGTTTTCCGTTACGAATTTGATGACTCAAATAAAAGCCCTCCTTCGACCCTGTTAATTCGGAACACTTATCCACTGCCTCGGCCCAATTCATTCCACGTTCAACGTGAACAACGTGAAGTTCCGTTGGCGCTTTTCCGGTCGCGTGTTTTCGTAGGAAACGATACAATTTAACCCTCTTGACGTTTTCCCCCGAGGTGCCAAGATCAAGGATGCCCATATCGAAACGACCAGTCTTTTTCGCTTGCGTCACGATCGCGTTCAGAGTGTCGGTAAAATATTTGAACAAACGATTTTGCAAATCGACGGGCATACCGAGGATACGATTTAAAAATTTCGACATGTTATTATAGTCTTTGTCCAATGTGAGTACACCGGGCGTACTTTCGCTGTTACAGATCAGACCGACACCCACTAACGCTTCGGCTACATCTTTGAAAAAGTCTCCGTGATAATCTTGAGGCGGTGGTACAAGGGGCGGCTCGTACTTCATGATGGTTCTCATCGTCGCTTCGAGAGCCGCACGGCCGTATTTGTTATCGATGTTGAACTGCGAAAGGTCTCTCGTTTCCGTCGCCCGTCTATCTCCGTGCGTGAGAGCACCGAGACTCTCGAGACGCTTCGCCACGATCGAGGCGAATCGCCGTTCACCTGCCAAGTCCGAGATCAGGAATATGTACTCAGGTGCGTTTACCTGATTCGAACGATGCGTTCGTCCGAATTGCTGTATCGCTCTGTCGGCGCTCCACGGTAATTCCAGAGTGATATGTACCCGTCGCATCTGATTTCTAGCTCGCCTGTCGCTCTGCAACGATATACCACTGCTGGCTGCTTCGGAGATGATCGCTACCGTTTTCTCGCCGTCCATGAACCTCTGTTTTTCCGTCAAGTTCAATGTTTCTAACGGAACATCGACCTCGGACCTGGACTCGTACTGAATAGTCCCATCTTCGGTTTGGACGACTCGACCCTTTCTCCCGGTCATTTCAGCCACATTTTCCGGCCCACCAAACTCGTCGATCAACTGATCCAAAGTATTCGGTGGTAGACGATCACCCAGTTCTTCGATTTCCAATAGCAGTTCTTTTTTCATGGTATACGCGCGCTCGACCGCGTCTCTCGATGGCGCTCGATTGCGCGTCGCTGCTCCCGCGACAACCCCGCGTTTTTTTACCGGCTTCTTCGGTTTCTTGCCACCTTTCTTCTTCCGTCTTCCATCGCCCGAATCGGAATCCGATTCGCTGTAATTGAACGAAGAATCGGAAGTGATGTTGCTTTCTTCGTCACTTTTGTGATCGTCCTCGCTCTCGCTACCGCTTTGCTTGTATTCCGAGCCAGAACTATGACCGCCGTTTCTCTCGTCGTCGGTAAAATCGTCGTCGGATGGGAACGTGCGAACTCTTTTCGTAGCGCGCTGGGCAGCTTGTCGTACCGGTTTCCTCTTACTGCTACCGGCGGAACCGCCAGCACTTTCCATATCTTCCAGTTCGTCTAACCTCTGCATCTTCGACGGCTCGATACCGAGAACTCGATGTATGTGGTTACGATCCGACGCTGGAAAATGCTTTTCGACCAACGATTGAAGCACTCCCTTCGCGGTGGAAACGAAATCGCTCAATTCACCGTCGTCGCGTTCCAATTGTTCCAATGTACGAGCTTCCCCAGTCGATTGCAAACCTATCACTACGCATTTGCCGCATTTCACCGCTTCCCTAGCGACCGCAACGGCGTGTTTCACTTTTGCAGCGATGCACAAATACTTGAAGAAACGCTGATGCGACGACCAAAACTGTCCCCACATCGTTTTCTTCATACGGTTCTCCGCGTCCAACAATTCCGCCGCTTCTTGAAACCTTTGCATCGCTTCCACCCAAAGTCGAACTGATCGATCGTATACCTCGGTGAATTCTTTAGACAACGGTACTTCTTCTATCTTGAAAGCTACTCCATGGAAACTGAGCTGTCGAGCGATGTACATGCCTCGCAATTTCATATCCATCGCTACGATTTCCATCGCGCCAACTCCTCGCTTCTCGACAGCGGTGATGAAATCGTTGAATTCGGGGAACGGTGTGCCTTCGCCCCACATACCTAATCTCACCATATAGGCCATGTTACGGGGTTCGGATGCACCCGTGGCACTAGCGTACACTACTCTAGCTTTCGGAAGTTTATTCTGTAATTCTAAAACCGTCAAACCTGAAACACGTGTATCAATGGGTTAGAATTGGACGGAAATATTTGGTTGTACAGGATGAACCACGGCATCTCATTCGCCTCGAATATTATTCCGAAGCAATCAACCGTGTTCCGTGGTTCACTCTGTCAAATAATCTATAACATAAAACATAAAACATAAAACATAAAACATAAAACATAAAACATAAACGATATATAAGTACCAGTTTTGGTAGGCTTTGAGCTACCCGTCGGACACAAGTTCTTCGCGCGATGACACTCGTCGAAAATAATTAGCCCGTCAAAGTCTTCTCCGCACCATTGTAACAGTTGCTTTAAGCGACTTTTATATTTTCCCCCACTCTGTGTAGATTCTCCGATTAACGCGGAATACGTACTGAATATTACTCCTTTCTTAACATTACCGTTTACTGCCGATGAAATTTTTGCGTATTTAAACTTATTCAATGCATGGACCTACAATTGTATCGGTCAGCAATCAGTTATTCGATTTCAACGATATTTCAACGAAATTTTTTATCCGACTACGCGGAAAACATACCTCGATTTTTGATGCACCTATGTCGTTCAGGTCTCGTTCTGCGTCATATTTAAGATCGTTCGAAACAGAAACCCAAATAGCACGTTTCCGACCTTTCAAGTAGTTTTCAAATATAATACCAGCTATGGTTCGTCCTTTACCTACTCCTGCACCATCGCCGATCAAGAAACCGGCGCGTGAACCGTCTGGCAAAAGATGCTCGTGTTGTTGAGACGCGTACGTGATCGATTCGAGTTGTAACGCGGATAGAGCTCCAGTTCGTATCGTTTCCTCCGGTATCGACAGTTTATACCAAACATCTGTCGGTTCGACGCTGGATAATGACGCAGTTTCCACAACAGGATCTGGATGCTTTCGTCCAAGTTTAACTATTAAACGTTAAATCGACTGTTGTATACCGTAAGTACGATACATATGAAAAGTAACATTCAAAAGAACAAACGTACGTTTAGTAGGCATATAATCGGCGTATGTTTCTGCAACGCCCATATCTTCGTCGTCTACTTCTTCCTCTTCTGGTAAAGTTTGTTGTATATTCATTTTAGTCGGGTCTCCAGCATTCATCCACAATTGAGACACTGCTTTACCTTAAACGATATTTATATTATTTTTATCATATTATAATATTATGGCTTTTTCCTACAATTAAAATTTTATTCAATTTAATGAGGGCAATCTAATTAAAACAATTTTATGAACGACACAAGAGGTAAGCTAGAAAATACCTGAGAGTCCAGCTGGCCAATTTGGATGTAAACCATTCTGGTTTAACAACTGGACTAGAGGATTAACACCCATGTTTATTCCAGGTATACCCATAAAGCCACTCATTAAACTCATATCCATGCCTAGAAAATAATAATACGCATAAGATTTCTTAATTATACTTGAATCTCTGGTTCATTATGTAATTTCGTTGAAAATTTTAGCTATGTATGTGCATAAATAATTTATACATACATTAACTGTGTACCTTACATATACACGAAACGATAGAAATAAAATTATTTCATCGTATCATTTTCATATATGTATAAAAGTAAGATTGCTTGCACTTACTCGGTGAAAAAAAGGCTGCAGGATTAAAACCCGCGAGAGTCGCTAATCCTGGTGGAAAAGCGTATGATCCACCAGCGGTAGCTAATTGATTTAATTGACCTAATTGATTTGCATTAACAAATCCAGGCGGTGTACCCTGTGATCCTCCTACGCGTACCATTTCGTATCCTGGTGTCGCTGTCTTGGTTACTAATCCACCAGGAATTTTATTGCCAAATTTCTGATTTAACACTGTCGAACAAGATACGATTTTTAACAATTTAAGCGTAGTTCTATTGGAAACTTTTCGAAATCATCCCCTTTTATGAATTCAATTTTTTTCCAATTGGCAACAACGAATATAATTTATGTATCGACGACTTGTAAACATAAATTTACTCCTTACTATTCATTCCCCCTTGTCCTTTCGTCATGACGTTAGACGGCGCATCCGCAAGTTTTTCATCTTTAATATTTGCTATCCCGGTCGCGGTAGCTAGGTCCTTCCCGCCACCTACGCACAGTTACATCATATACTCACGACAAATTCATGATAACAAAATGTAAGAACATATATCACAAAAACATAAATCTTACCTGGCACACCCATGTTATCGGGATCTTCGTCCTCGTCGCTGCTGCTGTCTTCGTTCATTGCATCCTTCTCCCTTTTGGCCGACTAACAAACAATTTTTTATTACTTTATTATCAACTAGTCCACGGATAAACTATAGAATCGCTTCTTTCTATTACTATCATTATCACAGGCATTCTTGAAACTCTACAAAGTAACGGTTAAACACGGATTTTCATGTACGCGTATCGGCTTCATTTAAAATTAGTTACTAACTTTCAAAATATCATGCAATAATTGATTTCTCTTTATTCGCTTATTTACAAACATCTATATAAATTACATTTCTCACAGAATATCAAGTAAACATTGCTTCCTCTTAATTAAACGACTCTTTGGAGAAACATTGGAAAATTCTGTTTGTAAACTTATTTGAATTTAGAAAAGAATAGGGAGGAGGGGATAGGGAAGATGGAGAGGGAGAACGGTGTGAGTCATTTAAAATTACAATAAGAGAGACAGTGTATTATTTGCGGTATACATGTATCGCGTCTATAGGTTAGTTGTAGCGAGAGATGGATGCTCAAAGAAATACGTATCGTGCGAAAGAAGCGCGCTTTCTTTCAAGTGAATAAAGTGAAATTATTATGAATAAAAACTTACCATGGCAAGAGTTTTTTTTTTTAATTCTTACTGTTACGGAAAGTTCAAAATAAACGAATACTTTGCTGAAACACCAACGGTGAATATTATTTTTGCTATGCAGTCGAAGTTGCTGACTGACAGTGCACGACACTTTTTTCCTCTCGTAAGAATTTCTTGTGTCGTGTTTCGTCAAAAGGACATCGCCCAGTAACGATGGAGTACCCAGTGACTTGTGCGAACTAGGAAATCACAGTGTTAGAAATTACTGTGCGTTTAGGCCGAGCCATTTATGCGGTCTAAAACTAAGCACACTTGAAACGCGTTCGCCAAACACGGCTGCCGCCATCTTGGCTTTCGCCCGGCCCACGGTGCATCGCGATGCAAATACAAAAACACACGCTGCTGCTTGCGGAATACGATTGTACGACGTTGCCGGATTTATGCATCTAAGGGTGTGTTTAGACTAAGCGAGCGAACGCTCGTTCTTCTTCAATTTTCGCGAAATCCTACCATAAACGAGCTTTGTCTCGTTGCACGTCGATTGTTCGCCAAATCGAATTCTCCGTGTAACAAATATTTCATTCGACGCGATTTCTGTTCGAAGCTTTTCATTTTTACGAATATTCGTACGTAATCGTAATCGTAAAGTTGTTCGGTATGATCGAATAATTTGTTCAATCATTGTTTATACGAATGCTTTCGTTCTTGCTCTTGCTCGTCCACTCTAAACGCACCCTAATTGGAACATTTCTAAGAGCGCGTTAACCAAAAACGAGAAAAAGAAAAAAAAATAGAAAAAAAAAAAGATTCCCATTCTTTCGAAGAAACAATTAATCGATGCATTTTCTTCCATATAATCAACGATAATTTTTTAATAATCAAACTTTAAAACGTTCAAATACATACGAAAAGAGGCCACGTTAGTATACGCGATACAAATAAAAAGAGCGGAAAATTCTGACATCTATCGACTATTTCGTAACTACATTTTTCATAACGATGCATGCAAATTTAAAGGAAGGCAGCGATCATCGAAATAAACGATATTAACGAAAGTTTTAAACGTAACAGACAGTTTTACTAATTCGATATGAGAAGAAACGAATAATCGTCATGAGTAAAAAAAATGTCGAAGTACCTTTCGATTTCATAAAAAAATTTCGATCGATGTATCTGTTTTTAATACCATTTAAATAAATGATTCTTCGCTTTACACGTTCCTCCGTACCCGATAGTAGAAATTACACGTCGCTGTGACGAAAGGTATTAGCGAAATCAAGGAGCAAGTCATTGCCACGCGACAGAACGAGTGCCATAGTTTTAACAATTGCTTATTACAGCACGTGTTCTTCCAAATCACAATGAGCAGTAAACAAACTATGTATATCGCGTATCATGTGTTCGTACGCGCGTGGTTACACTTAAACGAGTAGGTACAATCCGACAGACACTTGGCAACGCTGCCGAAGCGCCACTCTGATCGTTAGTTGATTTAAAGTATCCGCGGTAAAAAGAAAAGAATATGGCAACTAACTCTATTCGGAAATATTGAATAACGCGTGTTTAAATAAATTCGAGATTGTTCGCAAAAATCAGACGATTCTAAATCACTTTCTCACCAAAATAATACATATGTATTTCGTATTCTGTGTTTGCTTACCTAAATCTACCTAAAAAATAACATCGTTCTAATACGATCGATCCGAGCTTCGCGCCGCTGACAGCGCCACGTAACGACTAATTCGCTCAACTATCAACCATTCCGAGATGATTTGATTTCGCTAATTTTACATCGTGATTATCTATAAAATTGAAATATTTACCAGTACATTTACTTTGCATTTATACGCGTACACGATTAATATTCCTTCTGCTTTTTTTCCTCCTACATTTTAGAGCATTCTCGTTAGCGCTTCTTCAGTCTAATTACAATTTTATGACATTTCTTAATTTCTTACTCGTAGTTAATACCAGTCATTTATTTATGCGTTTGTTTTCTTGGAAAAAGGAATACTGTTATGTTATACATATATTTGTATAATTTTTGTTTATTCGGTACTGATACTGGATTCTTAAAGTGTTCAATTACACTACAAGTTTAGAAAACGCAGTATTTAACGATTATGAATAATTCGATGTAAAAATTTGTTTAAAGCATTTCTTTCAAAACTATTATTCGTTAAATTGTTTTATACGAAACATATTATGTACAAAAACGTGTTCAACTACTTAATCAAATTCAATTATCAATTGAGTGCTCGATATTTCGTTAATTATATTACATCGAACAAAATATAATATAGAAAGTAATCAAAATTTAATTTATACAAGATATCAAAAATCATCAATGAGATGATCATAAAACACAGCATATGCCAATTGTGTCTATATAATTTAATAATAATGTATCGTTGTTGGATCTGGATGAGCAATGGCGGTATATCCGGTACGTTATTTCGGTATTGTTTGTAATGTCTACCTTGTCGTTACAAGTAGGATGGTTTAAACGAGTCGTAATAATTATTCACGATAAAATCTGTCGGTTGTTCGAATTTCTAATTTAAATAATTTTTCTTAGATGAGCGTAAAAAGCATACATGTACGTTAAACGAACGCAAATGTAAAAATTTGAATTGCTATAATAAAAACCGTTTGCGTTCGATACTCTAGCGTTGACGTGAATCGAGATATATAGTGGTCTCGCATAATCGAACATTTTGTATGAGAATAATAAATTCGAAATTTGTTCGTTGTGTGGAAAAATCAAGGGATAACATGTCGAAAGGTAGGGATACAATTCGGAAAGATTTATGCATATTTTCACTGAAGATTTCGCGTTAAGAATCAGGTTATGTTTTGGTAGATTTCATTTCTTTTACTTTATCGTTTCGAACATTGTGCTTCAGACGCTAATTATGGGAAGGCTCGAGTCATTTTTCAAATTTTATTATTAATCAATTTTCTCCAAGTCTGATGGAAATTTGTTATCTCCGAATAAATTTACTTTATTGTACATATACCATGATATTATTAACATTTGTTACTGTAAACTGTACAAAATTATATTGTAAAATTCCATGACAATAAACAGTTTACACGGAATATAAATGTTTGTATCTATTTACACGTGTCCGATATATGTTTATAATTATGATTGAATTAGAAAAAATGAAATTCAGAGTGTTATTATATATCAAACGAATTATGATTATAGGAATACGAAAACAAAGAACGCAAAAAGAACAAATGAAAAGTATGATTTGTACAAGAGCTACTATAAAATCGACGCAATGTAATAATATAAATTCTCCGATGAAAAAAGAAGCCAAATTAAGTAATAGTATAGATATAAAAACTGATAATTTAGACGAAACACGTAGAGCGACCGAATGTAAATCACCCGTACATATAGGTTCATATTTCTATGCGTCAGTAAGTAATTTATATATTTAAGTTTCTTAATACAACGAGATTTTCATTCGAAAGGTATTAATATATATTCTCCACTGTAGATTACAGATGTAAAAAATAAAACTTCCATAGTAGATATCAAAGAAAGATTCTATGCTGAAGAACAAATTAATTTACAAAATGACATTCGCACTGATGTTGGTCACTTTAGAACAGATGGTAATGTATATAGCGATTGCCTTTGATGTGTACACGTTTAACCGGTATTACTAATCCGTTTAATGAAAATTTTAGAAACGCCCGTAGCTGTACCTATTCACAGCCCATCGACTCCACACAGAATAAATATGCCGAACAATCAACTAGAAGATACAGACGAAGGAAACGGTAACAATAGCAAGCATAATAAACCAATAAATCAGGCTCCAGAGGTTAATTCGGTACAACAAGCTTTCAAAAAGCCTGCTAATCGTGGTCGTAGAAAATTAAATAGCAACCAAACTATCGGTCAACGTTCAACAAATTCTTCAAACGATAAAAATACAAATCATAAGCTTACCGATTATTATCCTGTGCGCCGTAGTATAAGAAAATCGAAAAAAGCTGTACTAGAGGAGAAACAACGTGATATGGAAAACAAAGTGCTTTGTCAAGTGGAGGAAGGTTTAGAGGTAAAAGAATATCGATTAAAATAAGTCGATGATAGAAGATGCGTAAATATTTTACAGAAACTTTTTCCAGGTAAGACATTTTGCCGGTAAAGGTCGTGGCGTTGTAACAACGCGAGAATTTATGAAAGGAGAATTCGTTGTGGAATATATTGGTGAATTGATTGACCAAGTAACAGCAAAGAAACGAGAAAAGATATACGCACAAGATCAAAACACCGGATGTTATATGTATTATTTTCAACATCGTAATCATCAGTATTGGTAAGTGTTTTATGAATGATTATATGCAAAGTATCATGAACCAGAAATTACTTATATCTCACTGCATTTTTAGTGTCGATGCAACAGCAGAGACTGATAAGTTAGGTAGATTAGTTAATCATTCAAGAAACGGTAACTTAGTTGCACGAGTAATAGAAGTAGGTACGACACCTCATCTGGTACTTACGGCGAAAGAGAACATATCTATCGGGGTAGAAGTAACGTACGATTATGGAGATCGAAGTCGTGAAGCTATTCGTCATCATCCATGGTTGGCATTATAGCATCTTCAGATTAATTAATTGCGTAGTATGGATTTATATTGTACAGCAGAATTCATTTATCTGATTTTGTTCCTCCTATGAAGGAACATTATACAGAGAGGAAAAATTAGTTGAAGTTTACAGAACAAACATATACAAAATAGACTTGTATTCATGTATCTGCTTTTCTTAGTATTTACATATTTCTTAAACTGTTCTACAAACAGTCAGTTGCATGTCTGTTTAATATTATGCCTTTTTCATCGTTAAAAAAAGAAATAACATTAAACTTCCAGAATATGTGTATTAAAAATCAATAATACCTTTCAATATATGTAATTGTTTTAAAACTTCAAAATATTTACCTCTTACAATTCATAATGTTCATGTACTACACATCGAATTACTATTCGATTAATAACAAATACTTCATCTAGTCTTGGCTTTAGTCTAGTATTTACCAAATTTCAGAATTTTAACTATATAGCTCGACATACTAGGCCAAAACTTTTCCTGGTTGGCTTTGTCAAGTGGAGGAAGGTTTAGAGGTAAAAGAATATCGATTAAAATAAGTCGATGATAGAAGATGCGTAAATATTTTACAGAAACTTTTTCCAGGTAAGACATTTTGCCGGTAAAGGTCGTGGCGTTGTAACAACGCGAGAATTTATGAAAGGAGAATTCGTTGTGGAATATATTGGTGAATTGATTGACCAAGTAACAGCAAAGAAACGAGAAAAGATATACGCACAAGATCAAAACACCGGATGTTATATGTATTATTTTCAACATCGTAATCATCAGTATTGGTAAGTGTTTTATGAATGATTATATGCAAAGTATCATGAACCAGAAATTACTTATATCTCACTGCATTTTTAGTGTCGATGCAACAGCAGAGACTGATAAGTTAGGTAGATTAGTTAATCATTCAAGAAACGGTAACTTAGTTGCACGAGTAATAGAAGTAGGTACGACACCTCATCTGGTACTTACGGCGAAAGAGAACATATCTATCGGGGTAGAAGTAACGTACGATTATGGAGATCGAAGTCGTGAAGCTATTCGTCATCATCCATGGTTGGCATTATAGCATCTTCAGATTAATTAATTGCGTAGTATGGATTTATATTGTACAGCAGAATTCATTTATCTGATTTTGTTCCTCCTATGAAGGAACATTATACAGAGAGGAAAAATTAGTTGAAGTTTACAGAACAAACATATACAAAATAGACTTGTATTCATGTATCTGCTTTTCTTAGTATTTACATATTTCTTAAACTGTTCTACAAACAGTCAGTTGCATGTCTGTTTAATATTATGCCTTTTTCATCGTTAAAAAAAGAAATAACATTAAACTTCCAGAATATGTGTATTAAAAATCAATAATACCTTTCAATATATGTAATTGTTTTAAAACTTCAAAATATTTACCTCTTACAATTCATAATGTTCATGTACTACACATCGAATTACTATTCGATTAATAACAAATACTTCATCTAGTCTTGGCTTTAGTCTAGTATTTACCAAATTTCAGAATTTTAACTATATAGCTCGACATACTAGGCCAAAACTTTTCCTGGTTGAAGAATTTGTGATACCATGACGTAATTATACATATATATATATATATATTCTTTTTCTTTTCAATGCTTAACTGCAGAGTACTTCGATCTCTGTATCGTAATATTTATGTTTTAAAATAACTTTTTTTATCAATTGATCACTGCCATTACTCGCGTAATGTTATTAAAAAGAAAACAATAGTTTCTGAAATATGTAAGATAAATGAAATCCGATGTAAATGGTTCTAAAACATTCTGATTTTTTTAACGGATATATTGAAAGAATAAAAAATATTTAAAGAAAACTTTTTTAATTAAGTTAAATAAACATACACAGAATTGGTGTATTATGCATCTACGTACTGTCACCAATATTTTATCAGTATTCTTTTATCTATCATCGATTTATGTATAAGTTGTAGCAATAGCTTATAAGGTTCATTGTAATTTTCGTTTTGTCGATCTGAATTGTATTTATACATAATAATTCTTGATATTTATTCATACGAACATTGAAGTATTTTATACAATTGGTTTAATGTTATAAATGAATTTTCGAAATTACAGTTCAGTGTAGTTTTTAATATTATAATATGTACCGCGTTATTCGTTCTTAACAATAGTATTGTAATATGCGAAATATAAATTGTACAAACATATTTTTGTTTCAGTTGAAATATATGTAAAGTATATAATTTATTTAAATATTGTAAATAAATAATATCAAAAATATCCTACAAGTATTAATGAGTTAAAAACAATGATATACTGCTAAGAGGGATTAATGCCTACATTTATTTCAATATATGTAAAAAAAAGAAAATATAATGAACAATATAAATTGAAAATACTTTCGCATTGGTAATTGACTTAGATTCACTGATCGTTTGCAACGTTAATAATTTCATCGTCTTCGGAATTTTCGCCGCTACCTATAAACGTTTCTTCGTCAGCTTTTAAAAACGGTGGTGGAAAGAATGATGAAAATTCTTTAGGTTTTGGTAAAGTTATAACTGTGCTTTCTAATTTCTCTTCAGTAGGATCTTCGTCCAATTGGTTTTCTCTAAAATTTCTTTGGCATTCAGACATTAATTTTATGATATCGGATTTCTCAGATATTTCATTCAATTGCAACCTATCAGTCGAATTACCACTAGTTTCATTAATTCCAATATAATTAGGCGCTGGCGAAGGTGTATTAAGCGAAGGCATCGGCGGAGGTGTAGGAACCCGATAATGCTGAACATCAGAGGCGGTTTCCTTCATTACATGTTTATACATTCGTTCAAGGGCTTTCGATTCTCTCTCAGACATCGATTTTTGTTTATCCACTAAAACATCCTTTAATTCGGACATGAAACTTTTAATTAACGATTTGTCTCGTTTATAGTTGTATAATGAAATTTCGTCGCTTTCGTCGATTAAAGGCTTTAAATATTCTTCTTTAATATATTCTTCGAAAACTTCGTCTAGAATTTGTGGTTCCGAGTTATCTATAATAATGGTATCAGAATCTGCAGCTGAAGTTGGAATATTTGTCTCTATATGATTATTCGTGTAATTACTGATTTGTGTTTTTATAAGGAATAAACTACTAAATTCAACAAACTCTTTTGCATTTTCAATGTCCTTTTGAGCCATGTTCAACTCTTTTTCTATATTTTCCATCGCATCTTTATATGTCACAGTTTCGCTAATATTATCGATATCCTGAAGTACCGATAATATATGATTGTAAGCTAATTGTAACTTATTCGATGCTAAATATGCATGCATGTATAAATCTTGCCACTGTGACGAAAGTGGTCCTCTAAAATAATAAAAATGATATATAATGTATAACATTCTTATATACAAGGAAATTTTCTCTATAATATTCTTACTTGTATTTGTATTGCATTGGTTCTGCTTTGAAACTATAGTAAACATCAATGACTTCTGACAATTTCCTTTTATGTACTGACAAACATCTTGTTAAATGTCGTATAATGCAAATTAATTTTAATTCAGGAATTTTACTGTAAGATTGTTGCCATATATAATTATCATAAGCAATAGCTAATAAATATAACATTTCTGATTGCGTAAGAACGTAGGTGTGATATAAAGTCTATTAAAAAAAAAAACAGAGAAGAAAGTAACATACAATATACATTTATAAATATATACATATTATCTATATCTTAACCTTCAATTTTTGATAATTTATTTCACCACGTATCGCAAGAGATGCAGATTTCAATCTTGTTAACAAATCTTCGCAAGCAACATTTGGTGGTAATAACTTTAGAAGAATTAAAGAAGTAGAATAATAAATATACGAAGTATGTTCCAAACAGATTACAATATTTTCTACTATAGGTTGCAAATATCTCAGTCTTTCTGCTGTAAGATTACTGTTAAATTAAACATCGATTACTTAATTACATCAAACAGTTCCAAAAATATTACTTGTAAAATTACAATCAGTCGATTATGAATTCTTTAATAACTTACTAAAATTTTTGAGCACTTTTCCCTTTGTCTAACTTTATTTTATATCCATATTTCAAAATTTTCAATCCCTTTTTACAAACATCAAACAAGTCACCTTGTAAGATTACGAAAGATTTTAAATTTTTGCATGCCTGCATTCTCAAACATTTCATGTAACTAATGTAAGATAATACAACTGACGTGAAAAAACTGGTTAGATATTTATATCGAGTGTTACATGAAATGTAAACTGAAGATGATAAGAGTGCACCAAACGAAACGAATTGAAACAATGTAGACCTGCAAGGTATCGGCATCGTTAACGTTTCACTTTGTACTTTTAATTTTATTCGCCAGAAGACACGAAGAAAGTGTTGCCAAACATACAGTTTTTAGTATCAGTCTTAGCTACTATTACAAGCACTACTGTGTATTCAAACTATCCTAAAATGATGAAAGAAAGAGCAATGGCAGAATATGTTTGGTGATGTATGCTTCGTGTCTTGCAGCAAAAGAATAACCAATTTATTATTTGATACTTCGTAAATTCTAATAATTACCTCCATGATTTTAACTTGTACTTTTCGCAAAAATTATGTATCGCAAATGCATGATCGTTTAAAAGCACCTTTGCGTTTAAAATGGTTTCTATCTGTTTGTTAGATAAATCATCATCCTATTACAAATAAAATGTTACAAAATACAGTTCACACAAACAAAATTTTATGCATTATCACATACATATTTATACCTGAATTATTTTTAAACCTACAATAGTTAACCATTTCAAGCTGTTTTTTACAGTATATAAAAAACCCTAGAAATATACAAATGTTTATTGCATCGAACAATTGCATGTTCGTCGATTTATAGCAAGTAAGAAATTTACAGCTAATTTGGATTTCCTTTCTTCGCATTTGATCGTAGATTTAGGTATTAATACGCTTTCAAAATCCATATAACCTAATTTATATAAATGTTCATACAGGGAAGTGCCCTAAAATTACAAGAAAAAAATTATGATACATCAATATTATCAGTGAAAATTTACATATAACATCGTGTTCACGTACGTACCTGTATTACCACGTCTTCATCTTCAACATTGATATTATCGACGTTCATGATATCATTTATATTCAGGCGAAGACATTCAATTATATTACTTTAATTTTTAAAAATAATGTTTCGTTTTATAACACTTATCATAATTGATTACTTCTACATTGTAGGTTAAAAGAACGTAAGTCGATTTGTTCAACGATTATGATATTAATATTATTGTATATTTGAATGCACATACTTTTGTTATTTAATTTACGTTACTTATATAAAACATGAACTATTTGATTTTGTAAAATTGTATAATACGCGTTTAGACTCATATAAATATTCGACGTATTATGTACTCTCCATTATGAACTCGTGCGACGCAGAACGCGATCAACCACGATTAACTTCGGTAATTTCTCTACTAGATAGCGCCATTTCACTGTACACAATATGCTTGTTACTTTATCGACAATATTTGTGATCGACGTTATTTTGCAATCGCGTATAGGTTAAGTCTTAGAAACCACGCTGCTTGTATTTACATATAAATTACAAAAAACAAATTACATTGTTCTTCTGTGTAGATGTACATAATTACTAAAAAATGAAAAATTTGACAGTGACTCAACGTGCTAATCGATTTTTAGAAAGTTTAGGAATTCCAATTTTAAATACGAATTATTTAAACATATTACATGCCGTCAATTCGATCAACGATGATTTTTATTTATTATTAAGAAATAAAATATACAAAATTCCATCAGACTATTACGCTGATGTCGTTTCATTCGATATCGATGAAAACTTAGAATTCGTTAGTTTGGAATATTGTAGTATATCCCAGGAATTATATGGTGCTTGTAAATCAGGGGATATTATGAAAATAAACGTTGCACTTAATTTTGAATGCGAATTAATAACTAAACTAAATGTTGATTTACAATGTATGAAGTTAAGCCCTGATCATGAAATAATTACATTGGTTACTGCCAATGACACTGTGATTACGATGGTGTCAACTTTTCAAATATTAGCAGAGGTAATGATTTTAAATCCATGTTATAACTTTCACTTTTATATATGTTTCTGTGTATTTGCTATCGTTGTTTAAGAAAAAAAGTTGGTCATGTAATGCCTACTGTTGAATATATATATATATATGACATTGTATTCGATGAGTTCATATATTTTTGATATTCGAAAGCGATCGTGTTAAAATTATGTACATAATTAAAGTAAATATTCTAGGTTAATCTGCATACCCCAGATTTTGGGCAAAAACAGTTTGTAACTGTTGGTTGGGGCAAAAAGGAAACTCAGTTTCATGGGTCAGAAGGAAAGAAAGCTGCAGTAGCTAAGCCCATAGAACAAAATGAAAATGATTTGGACACTGGATTATGTAGGATAACTTGGCGCGAAGATGGTTCATTATTCGCGGTTGGGTTCTTACATCGCGAGAACAAAATGCGCCAGTTCAAAATATTTAACAGAGAGGGTATCTTACACTATACAAGCGAACTAACTAGCAATCTGGAAGAACCATTATCATGGAAACCATCGGGAAGCTTAATCGCGACAACACAAAATATGTGCAATAAATATGTTGTTGCATTATTTGAAAAGAATGGTTTGAAGCATAGAGAATTTGTACTTCCATATAAAGCAACAGAAATGAAGGTACATATACATTTATCTTTCTTTAAGAATAAAAAAAATTTTGTAAACAATACATAGGGAATTCATTGGTTTAAAATTTCTGCTACAGGTAAAGGATCTATTCTGGTCACCGGATTCAGAAATTTTAACAATTTGGGGTGAAATGCAAGAAAATTCTTCTTCGGTATTACAATTGTGGTCTGAAAATAATTACCATTGGTATTTAAAACAGTCAATTAGATTTCCTGTGGATAATTCGTTAATACGCGCAGCATGGTGTACAGTATCAAGTTCCAAAAAATTGATCCTTTTAACATACAAAGAGTTTATTACTTATGACTATCATTGGACCGTACATCATAGTAAAGGCAAAAGCGTAGATGATAAATCTGTTGTCGGCGTAATTGATGGAAACAAGTTATTGGTAACTAGTTTCAGAACAGGAATAGTACCACCGCCGATGGCGCATCAAACTTTAGAAACTTCTGACTGTATAAATGCTATTGTTTTTGCACCTGATTTAACGAATAAAGATATCTGGATAAATAGTAATGCATTCTTTTGTGTTTCTGACAGTAACAAATTGTTATTTTATAAACACATACCTGTAAGTATAAATAAATTAAAAAAATTACCGTTTGGAAGTTTATAAAAGGATGACAGAATTCATTGGAGTATATAAAAAAATTAGGAATCCCGTTTGTTGGAGTACGAATATATTGGTTCATACGATATTAGATGGAACGTGTTAACCGAGTATGAGAATTGCTTGTATAATATACATCATTTTTTGTGGGTCGATAAAGATTACATTTTATGTTCACTGTCGGTGAACAACCAAAGTTTTCTTTGCGTCTTAACGTTAGATGCGATACATGATCAAATTCAAGGACAAATAATAGCGAGGTATGGTTAGTTTGCGGAAGAAATGTATCAATTACTTTTATATAGAATATTTTTGTGTTTCGAGAAATAGAAAATTTGTCTTTATTCTTTTCAGACAAACATATATTATGGAAGGATTAATTCAACATATTATTCCATCTCCTGATCCGAAAGAAGCATACGTAATTGTAGGAAATTCTGTTTTAAAATGGACACCCGAAGAAATAATTCCAATTAACACGCGATTGCAGGGTTGTATTTATCAGGTAGAAGTTGTGAAGATTGGCATTAAACATGTTATATTGTCATTGTATCACAGAAACTGTTTTTCAATAAATGGAAAACAAGTTGCTAATAACATTACAAGCTTCTTCGTCCATTCAGAATTCTTGCTTCTTACAACCGCTCAACATACATTGATATGTGTTAATATAAGCGAAGATGACTTTGAAAGATTAACTAAAGAAAATTTTACTATTAAACCATGGGAAAGTAAAGATCTCGATAAAACATCATTTGCAAGTACGTGTTATCGTAATTTTACAATTTCTGTATTAGTAGTCTTAATTAAAAGCATTATTAATTTTCCAGGTTTAAACATAAGGCGATTAGAAAGAGGATCTCAATTAATAATATCAGTGGCAAAAGATTCAAGAACTATTTTGCAAATGCCACGCGGAAATTTGGAATGCATACAACCCCGAACATTGTCTTTACATATTATTGGATTTTATTTAGACAATTGTAATTATCTGCTAGCGTTTGACTTGATGCGCAGGCAACGCATAAATTTGAATTTAATTTATGATCATGATCCAAAGAAATTTATCGAGAACGCGGATAAGTTTGTGGAACAAGTTTTTAAACCAAGCTGGTTAAGTTTATTACTGTCAGAATTAGTAGACGAAGATGTTACTACAACGATATACTCAAGTTATTATCGACGGAATCGATTCAAGTTAGATGCCGTATCGACAAACAAAGTCGAGTTAGTTTGCGACTTATTACATAATATTATGGAAAAAAAGAATAACAATAATCGTATGATTCAACCGATCTTGATTAGCTTAGTTAAAAACAAAAACAAGCAAGGAATCGAAGCTGCATTGACCAAGATAAATGAAATTCGAAAATCAGCAAGTTCTATAAATAGCGACGAATGTATCACATTCGATGAAGCATTGAAATATTTATTATACATAGTGGATGTGAATGTACTGTTCGATATAGCTTTGGGTATGTACGATTTTGATTTGACAATGTTTATTGCATCTAAATCGCAAAAGGATCCTAAAGAATATATACCTTTTTTGAATGATTTGAAAAAGCTCGACGAGAATTACATGAAATATTCTATCGATTTGTATTTGAAACGTTATGATTCTGCGCTCGAACATGTCGCGAAAGAGGCTAATAAGTTCAATGAATGTATAAATTTGATACGCAATCATGATCTATATTCGAAAGCTTTAAAATTATTCGGAAAGGATAGTGAACAGTACAAAGAAGTGGCTAGAATGTATGGAGAATTTTTACAGAAGAAGAAACAGTATCAAGAAGCTGGAATCATGTTTCAAAGAAGCTGTGACTTTAAGCAAGCTTTAAATGCTTATACGTTAGCTGGTAGCTGGCAAGATGTCATTATTTTGTGCACCCAAATGAAACTGAGGTAAACAATACGAGTATTATAATTTTTTATACACATACACACGCATATTATATAATAATTAAATGGCATTGTAGCGAGACAGAAAGGCATACGTATTATAAGGATATCGTAGAATATTTGAAAATAAATAAAAGGTACGAAGAAGCTGCACAGATTTTAGCAACTTATTTGAAAGATCCTACAGAAGCAGTAATTGCTTTATGCAACGGTAAGCGTTGGAAGGATGCTATTAAAATTGCTTGCGATACCCAAAATCTCGATTTGATTGGTAAGTTTACGCTTTTATAGATAATATAAGCGATGTGCTTAACTTGATAATAATAATAATAATAATAATAATCAAAATTATTATGTTCTAGAATCATATATAAAATCGAGCGTTTACGAATATGCGAACCATTTGGTGTATCAAACGCAAAAGAATAAACAAGATTTTGAGCAATATAGATCGCGTCTCATCGTGGTCAGAGATAATATTTCTCAGCGAAACGTGAAATCGTATACCGAAATATCTGAAAATGAATCGATGTATAGCAATAAAGGTATCTCGGATATTCTTAGCGACACAAGCAGCATTGTCGGATCAACTGTGAGTCAGAAATCAAAGCTTTCTACTCTGTCGGGGTAAGAGTCGGTACAACTTAAAATTGTTTTCATATCTTATGTAAAAGTTACAATTGCATTGAGAATTATTCATTTCCAGAAGAAGTTATAGATCAAGTAAAAACCGCAGGAAACAAGAAAGAAAATTTTTAAGTTTGAAAGAAGGCAGCATTTTTGAGGACTTGGCATTAATACAAGCTTTATATCAAATTATCAGCAATACGTACAAAGAGAGAGGTTTCTATACTTTCTTACGTTCATTAATTTAATATTACTGAAATCTGTGTATACCGGTATTTTGCATTTCAGACGAGTTACATATTTTGATACAAATGCTTGTGTATTTCGGTGATGATGAATATGCTGAAAATATACAAAATTCTATGGAACAATTTCTTTTATTTATAGATAAAAGTAAATCTGAAATTTGGAACAAATCTGCACCTTCGAGTTTAATAGAAATGGTATATAGTAAATAACGTGCATAATCATTTTAGTTATTAATAAGAATAATAACGATATATTTATAAAAATTTTAGGAAAATACGGAATTAACAACGTTGACGGAAGCGCAGGGATTGTCTGTATATCAAAAATTGATCGGTAAGTTAACATGATTTGCTAACATCTATAAGTACTTTAATATTTATTCCGTTGTTATTATTATCTTTTAGAGCCGTACGTTTTACGGCCACCGGTACCAACTTCTTTCTCTTGGAAACTTAATATATTTTGATTCTGATTACAATAAACTTACTGTAAAATATACGAACTTTGTATTTATTTGTATAACGTCTTTCGATCTACTTTTTAAAAATTACTCAAATTTACTTTCGTATTTCTTAAATATTTTATTAATGGTTTTTAAATTACTTGACCGAAAAATTTGTTTATACTATTTAACAAATCCTGTGTTGCACAAAATTAATAATGAAATAGAGAATACATTACAATTAGGATTTATAAGAATTACTCGCAACCTTATATTATTTTATCAAAATTTTCTTACAAGTAACAAATATATTTATATAAGTCTATGTATAAATATTACAACATAATATTCGAATTTGTATAAATGATATGTATATGTGTATATATATATATATATATGTATATATATATATATTATTTTGAGAACATTATTAAAGTTTATTTTTTACTTGTTCTTTTTCAATACATAAAATTTTCTACAATCTACGCTGATAATGAACAAACACGTTCATCAATATAATATTTGTGAAAATATTGATATCAAAGTATAAATTAATATCGTCTGGAGCACTCGAATATTTTTATACATTAAGGTTAAAACTATTTTATAGGGCTAATATCAAAATAAAAAAAAATGTCTTTATAATTACGAATAAAAGTTAAAATTTCTTTAATATTTCAGTATAAAAGATATAATTTATAATTTAAATACCTAAAAATCCTGCTTGAAATCGGATAAAAATTCGACAAAATATTAATTTCATAAAAGATTAAAAAATTATCTAATTTTTATCAAGTATATAAGATCAACGATATAAACGGCTAAATAATTGAAATACTATAGTTTCTTTATACCGGATTTAATTTAAAATATCATTCACTTACTTCTTACCCGTAAATAAAGTTCAGGGAAAAGAGAGTTTACTTTTCCACGTTTATACACATTACGTTACTTTGTCGAATTTTTATTGAACTTAAATCCAGATCTTCTCGTAAACGTTGTTCGTTAGCGTTACTATAATAATCCAAAAATATAACTCATCTCTATCGCTTTACTCTCATGCTTGCTTTTTTGCCTATACTACGAAACTTTCTATATAATTAATCTAAATTCTGTAATTACATGGGTAAATAAAGAAAATCTTTAATAAGTAATTCACGTGTAAATATGTACTTTTAACAAATAAAATATTCTATATAAGATAGTCCATTATACTTGCGAATAAAAAAATATTCGATGTTAGTCACACGAAATTACTTGTTCAAGCATTTCTTTTCTTACAAACCTTCTATAATCCCATACTATTCAGAAATAAGATGGCTACGTCTTATTTTTAATAGGACTTGCACCTTTTAAACCAAACATTTCAACATTCATAATTATAAACGAGACTATCATTCACAGGGTTGAAATTTCAATTACAGGCTGGAAATATCCTAAATTAACATTTTTTTTTTTTTCTAGCAGTTAAATGTATCTTTTATTACATACGTCATATAAACATAAAAACTATTAATCAATCCAATAATTTTGATTACAGTAATATTTCTTTTTATTCGGTTTTCGTTTATTTACTTCAATAAATTTCGAAGCGAAAGTCATTGTTCGAAATAGCTTTCAATTTAAAAGGTAACCAGAAAATAACAAACGTTATATATGTACAATATATTGGACGAATGAAGATAGTCTCGTCTCTTTTTTTCCCCTCTTAATGGTTTATCCTTCTGAAAATGGAGCAACAATTTATTTTGTTCAACGTAATATTGAACAATCAACCATTTATCTACAATTACCATTTAAAACGAATATTATACTCCTTCCTTATTCGCGGTAGCTATGGCATTTATAGCTGACGATCTAAGTTCGGGACGACTACTGATCTTCATATGTTTCGAGTGGGCGTATTTTTTCCTTACAGCTTGATATCTACTTTCATCTGCGTTTATGATAATAATTGCTATCTTCCGTACCACGGGTAACACGTCATCCTTAACATAAGTACTATAATACGCCAAAGTACGTGTCCAAACATTTTCGCCCTCGTCATCAGTACCGATAATTCTAAACAATTAAATTTTATAGTGACAATTAACTGACTTATATTAACCAAGTATTTCTATACTTCCATATTAGGTGCTAATAGTTTCAAAAATATCTTTCAATGCATCGTTTGAAAAATTAAAAGGTTCTATTATAGGAAGAACTTACGCGAATGCCAAGTATATCGCCGCAGCTGCAATAAGACTTGGTGGATAATGACACATTTCATAATATACCAAACTTTGTTCTAGGAAATATTTTGCCATTGTATGATGTATTGGAAGAGCCTTATAAATATAAAATTTAGCACGTAAATGATATAATGAATTTATGAAATATTAAAAAATAAAAATTCATAGAATGTTATGAAATATACCTTTCCAGCTTTGCTGTATCTTCTAAGGAAATGTAAAGGCAACGGTCGGCCAAAAGAATAATCCAACGTTCTCACGATAAGCATCTCCATTTGTAATATTTCTAACTTTGAATATGCATTATCTGTGATATATACAAAATCCTTTATATCCGGGGCATACATTTCTTCGTACTTGCTAGCAATAAACATAGCTGTTACGCCGACTAATTGTAACCTTTTCCTATTTATCGAGTGAAAAGCCTGTAAAAAGAGTTTGAATTTGTTTTTACAAAGAATAACTAGTCACGTAATTATGCATTTACTTGAGAAATTTTAAACGCGCGTTTTTCTTTAAAGATACATATCGTAATGACAAACCTGTAAAAACCTATCAATAATAGCAACGGTAAGATATAATGTTTCTTGCATTAAATGAAATTGCTGATGAACTTCGATTAGCCAATCTATGAGTATGCTTCTCATTTTCGGTGTAATTTCCAGACCATTTAAATATCCTTGCGTAATTGGAAACTTACTCTCTAAATTTCTTAGGTACTCATATATGTCATTAATATAAATAGAAACTAGACTAGGATTTCCTTTGTCTTCTTCATCGATGTCCTCGACTTCCAAAAGATCAGAGGAGAATGATTGTACTTCCTTTTTCGGAGGGATTGGCGCCACATTATTTTCTTGAGAAACTTGAACTTTTACTACAGGTTTCGCTATCTTCACAAGCGTTTTTTCCGATACTTTTACCGTCGGTTTGATAACCTGTTTTGGTACTGTTATATTTTTCTTTTCTATCGGCAATAAGCTTGTTCTATCGATAGGCTCTACGCCTCTCAGCGTGTTTACTTTATTGCCTATTTCGCCTAAAGCAGCTCTTTTTGTCTTTAATGGTATTGCAGTAGTTATAGACTTCAGGTTCTTTACATTCTCCTGATTTATAGTATTCTGAAAATTTATATTATTCTGGCATCCAATTGCAATAACAATAAACTTAAATTATTAGTTTTAAATACTGTATTATAAGATAATAACAATTCAACAGAGCATTTATTCAAATAAACCGAGTACCGATAAGTACAGTTTTACTATGATTATAAGAATGTTTATGCACATACACGTGCGCATACAGTTTGAATGATCACAAATTTCGCGTATATTAAGTAATAGAATCAATACTTTAAAATTAAGGAAGATATTAAATTTATAAATCACACAAAATGTGTAAACATTTCTTCAGAACATCCTCCATAAAGTTTTAATGAATCTTCATACATCATTATTTAAATGCTTAAATTTAAATATGTTCAATATTTGAAATAATTTTTATAAAATCCTTTGCATAGTTTTTCATTTTTTATATGTACGATTATATAAAACATTTATAACAATAATTTTATAAATATTATAACAAAAGAGAAACGATGTTCGTAAAAATTCTGATAAATTCATTCATATATTTTATAATTAACTCGGAAACAAGTTTTGGATAATTATCAAACTGTCGTTACTTTCAAATAACGTTGGCATATGAATGATAATATTTGTGAAAGTGAGATTGTTCTGAAAATTAAACTTATATTGTCAAGTACTAAGTGGCTATAATGGTTTAAGGAACGTACGATTAATAAGGAATAAATTATTCTGTAACAAAAAATAAGAGCAAATTATAGTAGCTGTATGGTTCAATAGACTTTAAAAAGAACGAAGGGCATTTAAAGATGTCAGGGACAGGCGGTTACCCCATACTATTGACCTCCCCATAAAAATTCCACAGCTAATGATCAAACGATAGAATTATGTGAAAAATCTTAAACTTACCGTCAATGCAGTCCGATTTATTAACGCCATTATAAATCCAGTTAAAGGAGGATTTAATGTAACGATTAAAATTAGTTTTCCGATACAGTTACTTCCACCGTTTCTCAAACAACGTTCACCTCGCAATAACGACTCTGTCGGTTTGAATTTGTTTAGTCGTTCAGACGGAAGTTCACCCTCTGCGGATGTTGGTATACAGAAGAAAAGGCGCGGAAACCGAGACATCTTATTGGCTGGCAAAACGGTAACATAGTTTGAACAGATAATTAATTGCATTTCAATTGTTTTGTAAATTGACAGGTCTAAAACGTCTTCTCGAATTGTAAAATTGACAAATCAATGCTAAAGAATAAATGTTACCAATACGATAGACTTCTCAGATCATTGTTGTTTCGTCACATGTGCCGCGAGGCTCTAGAATCCTGTTAACATTTTCGTGTTATATCCTATCATATCAGTTAGAACTGGTTTTACTACGTATACGGATAAACCATTCACTTTCTGAGCACAGTCGCATTAAAGTCTACGGCGATATGGTTTTTCCGTGATTATTCTTCCGTGGCATGCGCGGGCGGCGCGTAGGATGAATATACACGATAATGAGTATGCAAAATCGTTAATTACTCACTTTCTGAGCACAGTCTATGCACTTTTATGATTAAAGAATGGTCAGCAATGCATTATTTACATGGTTCGATCATAAAAGTTCATAAATAATGTTCGGGTAATGAGTAATTAATTATTTTGTGTCAGCAATGCGATACGTACATGAGCCGCCTATGTCTATTCTACTGCGCATGCAAAGTACAATATTTCGGCACTTTGACGATGTAGTATGGTTCCTGAGGCATTTAGAAACAAATTTCTATTAGGGTTTGATGCATTTTGATGCTTAATAAAGCCAGAAAATTCATTTTTGTCGAATTCGGTCCAAAACGGTACAGGTGGCGCCATCTAGCGGCGAGCGGCGGAACTACGAAACACTAAAATTTCGATTTTCTCCGAAATTAGGCAATTTTACGTATTTCTGAGGGTCAGAAATTCTTCTGTGGCCTCCCTAGAACCTACATAATGCCACAAGAACCCCCTCAGAGCGCTAGAAAAGAAAATAAAAAAATAGGCCAAAACATGGACTAAAAAATTGGCGTCCATCTAGCGGTGAAAGTTGGAACTACAAAAATAGAAAAATGAGATTTTCTCGAAAATTAGCGAACTTTGAGTACTTCCGAGGCTCAGAAAGTGTTATGTGATCGCATTAGAAGCGAAATAAAGCAATAAAAGCTTCCTGAAAGCTCCAATAAAGAAAATAAAAAAAATGTCATTTTATGGAGAAAATTTGTGGCGCCATCTAGCGGCGAGCTAAACCGAACTAAACCGAAAAAACGTATGTCCGAACACGCGTTAAGGAAAAATATAAAAAGTAATCTTTCGCCACTTTGACGACGCAACTTTGCTTCTTTAGACATTTTCAAGCAATTTTTGTTGAATAAGTTATTCATTTTTTTGCCTATTAAGCCTAGAAAAGCAATTTTTATTTTACCCTTTAACGCGTGTTCGGACATACATTTTTTCAGTTTAGTTCGCAGTTTTGCCGCTAGATGGCGCCACAAATTTTCTCCATAAAATGACATTTTTTTTATTTTCTTTATTAAAACTTTCAGGAAACTTTTATTGCTTTATTATGCTTCTAATGCGATCACATAACACTTTCTGAGCCTCAGAAGTACTCAAAATTCGCTAATTTTCGAGAAAATCGGTTTTTTATATTTTTGTAGTTCCAACTTTCACCGCTAGATGGACG